ATTTTCAGAAATAGAAAACCTTGAAAAACATTTGTGAGCTAAGAGAAAAAGGTCTCTCAACAGAGAGCTGTAAAGCTGATTTTTCTGCACTATTGGAAGTCATAAGGTAGACATGTTCGGTTTAAGTAGAATTTCCGAATATCTACATAGCAACTAAATGCACCATATAACCTAGAACGAATATAGACATGAAAGGAATGGTTTTGCAGGAGGAACATGAATATCAAAGACTAGAAACATGAGAATTAAGTTTCTCAAAATAGCAATTCAAATCTGAATCTCTTTAACTCGATGAAACAGAATTCTTATCCAAGTCGTTCTTTCCCTTTGTTTTTCCTAAACAGAGCTTATATATTGAACACATTAAAAGATTAGTTCCAAATAACCGGAACCAGCCCTAAGCAATAAAACACAACATGAAATCAAAGAAGGAAAGTAGAAGCTCTGATTCACCGAGAGCTTCCAAACCATCATACAACACCAAAATAATGTGCTCTATGTTAGATTTAAATAATCCAGCATTCTAAATGAATTAACAACATGGAAAACGCACGTAGAAACATCTCTTAACACATCTCAGCTCCTATAATTTAATCTAGAAGTTTTAATTGAAACTCTACAAGAAGATTAGCATATTACCTCGGTGAATTTCCAAACTTGAAGCTTGCTTCCTTCCCCAATTTGAGTTCTACTCCCTCAGCCCTAAAGTCCTAAATTTTCCTTCATCCTATTCATTTCCTCTCCCGGTTCTTCTTTCCTTTATCTCGCTCCTCTTCTTTCCTTCTTGCTCGACATCATTAAAATCAGAGTTCAAAGGTGTTTTAGATGATGATGATTGATAGATTGGGATGATTCGGGAAGAGGAAGTGCGGAGAAGAAAAGGGAAGATGAAAACTTGATTAGATTAACGGGAGGGGTATGTCTTTAGAAGACAACTTCTTACTTTTTAATCTGTTTTTTTAACACAATATCATAACAACTTAATTGATTAAGAACTTAATGTATTAAGGACTTAAATTTTAAGTGCATTTGATAACTTAAAGTAAGATGTCTTAATAAATTAAGTGGGTCTGAAATGCTAGTGCAAATGTGAGCCTAAAAATAAGTGATAGGTCTATCACTTATGTCTGAACTGAATTCTTGAGACGATTTTTTTTCTATTTATTTATTTTTATGCTTATACTTTTGATATTTTATCTTGAAATATTTTTATTAATCATGATGTCTAGTTTTAAATTATTTTAAATTAAAATTTATGTAAATTTTTTTATTTAATAAATATTTATTTTTATATAAAAATTAAAATCCATTAAATTCCATTATCAATATATATTTATCATAAAATATGAATTTTTTTGACAATGATAAAATATGACATTATTATTAACTGAAAAAATAATAACATAATAAAATAAATATTTTTATTATATTATTTAATAATATTATTATTATTTTTATTATCATAGTTTCATAAGTCGAAATACTTTAAATTTCAGTGTTCAGACTTCAAATTTCAGACATTTTATTCAGTGTTTAGATTTTAGTTTTTATCAAACACGATAAACTTAATCAGTTCGGTCCTTATGATTCAGTCTTCAGATTTCAGACTTTAGACCCAAATTAAGTTTTATCAAACGAGCCCTTAATTTAATCCCCATGTTTCCAATTCATTGAATCCCCTTACATCTATAATTAAAATAATAACAACATTAGTAACTCATTAAATGAGTCTAAATTAAACATTATTTAATAGTTTACACTTAGCAGGGAGGTCCCATTGATCAAGTTCTCACATAAATGGCTCCTAATCAATCAGAATTGAGATTCTAAACTCTTTAACGCTTTTATTGTAAGTAGAGACAAGAAAAATATTTGATCAAATTAATAATTTTAAAGTAAATAAAATTTATCTTAAAGTGTTACATAATTATTGAATATAACATTTCATTACTATTTGAGTAACTAACATTTGCCGTCTAAAAAGTAACTATCATTTAGTAAATAGTGATAACATTTTGCCGTTAGTACATGAAAAACATGATAGTGACGGCATTATTTTGTCATTAGGTGTCTAAACTCTGACTCTCTTAGTGGCAAATTATAAAAGTCGTTAAAAAGAAATGGTCACATTAGCAAGAACGCTTCTTGCGTTACTTTTGTGGCAACTTTGTTGTCACTATATAAGTTTTACAACTGATTCCAAAGTTAGTGACCATAAATTGTGACTATCAGGTCACTAAATGACATTTTTAATGACCATGTTTTTGTGGTGAAAAAGTGACCTAGTCACTAAATGGGGAGTTTTTCTTATAGTGATCTGGCGCCTTTTGCTTACAACTACTGGACTAAGATGTAATCTATTATACCAAAGCTATAATCTTTGGAGAATTAGGAACTCTTTGGATTGATGCATATCTTATTTTGAGGTGAAACAGAACATGTTGTATTACCTTCGACTCAACTGCTGGTTCTTTCTGGAAGATGAACCTATTTCTTGCACTCCGTAAGAAATAGATAGATGTACACCATAAGGCTTTCATAGCTACTCCTAGAGTATCATTCTTCCACCTGTGGAAATGCTGATTAAAAAGATGATCCCATGAGTACGGGAGGCTCCATCCATTGAAATCACAAACTACAAGCCATAGTCGAGATGAGAACCAACATTCAAAGAAGAGATGCTTTACAGTTTCATCATGTTGTTGGCAGAACACACATAAGGTATCAACTGATGTATTCCATTTAGTTACCTTAGTTTTTACTGCAAGTTTATCTAGGCAGCTCAACCATGAGATGAAAGAATATTTTGGAGGACTTAACCTGGTCCATAGTATAAGACACCACCATTGGGTAGGAGCTGGAGGTGCTAATACATTGTAGCACGCTTGTGATGAATATGGTTCCCTAGGAGCAGTCCAAACTGTTGTACCATTTATTCTAGTTACACAAGTAGATGCTACTGTTTTTAACTTCAAGATCTTCTTGATTCACCACGAGAAAGAAGATGTAATAGATACATCCCAAACAGTCTGCCCCTTTAAGTACACCTCATGAACCCACTTCACCCAAAGGGAATCAACCTTTCTTTCTATGGCCCAAAAATGCTTAAGCATCAAAGACGTATTCATCATGTCAAAGTTCTTTTTCCCCAAGCCCCCAGAAGACATAGGTTGACATACATCAGACCATGCCACAAAGGCTTTACGAGCAGGGTCAACAAAATCAGTCCATAGAAACCTCCTAGCATGTGATTCAATTTCTTTTATGACCTTGGGTAAAATAAGGATAGAGGACCAATACCTTTCAATGCTTTCAACCACGGAGTGTATCAGCTACAATTTTCTAGCATAGGATAAGAATATGGTGGTTCATGATTTCATCCTTGAGGTTATTTGCTCGATCAATAGAAGGCAATCAGTCAATGATAATTGTTTGGAGACAAGCGGGACACCCAAGTACTTAAAAGGTAGATTTCCTTCTTCAATCCCAAGCATATCAAGCAAGCCTCTTTTTGTATGGATTGGAACACCTACAAAATATGCATGACTCATCATCAGAGTAGCACTAAGTCCAGAGCTGGAGAAAAAATCATCCAAACAGCTCTTCAGACTTTGAACAGCTGAGAAATTTTCCTTGCAAAATAAAAGCAAGTCATCAGCATACACAAGGTGAGTAAGTCCAATGCGTTTGCACTTTGAGCGGAAAGAAAAAGAGCCTTCCGCAACCATTCTGTTTAGAGATCTAGACAGATACTCCATACAAAGAGTAAAGAGGTAAGGTGAAATGGGATCTCCCTGCCTTAGTTCACGTACACCCTTAAAATTTCTAGTCAATTCTCCATTTATAAGTAGTGAGTATCTGGGTATTTGCATACATTCCATAATCCATCCAATAAATCTAAAGGGAAACCCAAGTTGTATAAGTAAACTTCTCAAGAATTCCTAATTTATAGAGTCATATGGCCTCTTTGCCAGTTTACTGACACTCAATTCTATTATTTTAACCATAATTCTTTGTACTGTGTTAATAGACCAAAATTCATATGGCCTCTTTTGATTAACAAGAGCTACTTAACTTAAAACCTCTTCTGTTAGCATCTTTTATTCAGGGCAAACTTTAAAACTAACAATTAATTTACCTTGAATTCTTAAAATGTCTTATGTTTTGAAATATTTCTCAAAATCTAAAACGACTTATATTTTGAAATGAAGGAAGTAATAAGGAAAATAAAAAGTCAACACGAAAGAATCACTACCAAGTGTAACTTACTAAGGTTACCTTATGTTTGTGACTTTGCCGTTAATATGCAAAGACAAAATTAGCCAAATAAGCAAACTTGTTAATTGAGATTCCTCACCCTTGTTATGCATTTATGAAGTTTGACCTTTTTTTGTCATTCTTCTTGCTAGCATTTGTGGATACATTCTTAAATGCTATCCTCATAAATCACTGGATTGAAATTTGGCTAGAGTGCGTTGGGACTCTGTTCATGAGATTATATCTCCCGAAAGTTGAATTTTGTAACCGATCATTTGGCGTTACTGACAGTAGTAGATTCAGGAGGTCAAACAGATTTGTTGATCTTCCTTCTACACTCAAACCATGGTTGAAATACTAATTAATTGGTGTCTTTGGCATAAGATGTGTGTTGATGGCCTCTTTTATTGTACAAATACATATAAGAGCAAAAACATCTTAACCAACATATTTTATTTTTCTTTTGAAAATGCCCTTGAGTCTCTCTACAAGGTGGAGAGTGAACAATGGAAAATTTTATCAATAAGGGATATCTTGTTAAAAATTGGGGGAAAAAATCGAAATTGGTTGTAAATGCTGAATAATTTGAACATCAAAACAATTTCATACGATTGTTTCTTAATCAATTGATGTACTTATAAAACCTTGAATAAATGTCTAGCACAATACATTAGTATCCCAAAATGGATGCATGTAGATTGTAGATTATTAATTCATTGCGACAAAGGATTTTCAATTAATGTCTTTGATATATAATAATATGTAGTTCTACAAAGAATTTGATGAATCAATTGTTCTCAATCAATTTGCCAAACTTCCAACTTCTTGCTTCCACTTAGTTTCCAGCCACGCTAGCCTTGAGTCTCTCAATTGTGGGGACATCAGTTTTGAACGATTGAGCCAAGATTGCGTCCTCAATTCCAGAATTAAACAAATTGGAAGGAATCGAAACAAGCCCGGGGCTTGCACTTGCAAAAGCCGAAACCGCAACCGATGTATTGTCAATCAGGAAATTGTGGTGATAATGCACCATCCCTTTTGGAAACACAAACATGTCACCAGCTTGCAGTGTCTGGTTAAACAGCTTGTTTTCTGCGTCGATGAATCCGACACGTAAGGCGCCGGAGAGGAGAAGGAGGAGCTCGGGTGACCGGGGATGGCTGTGGGGCGGGTTGACTACGCCGGGAGGGAATTGCAACACCGACAAGGAAACGCCCTGCCCGGTGAGCGCCGGGAAGGTTGTTTTGTCGGCGTTTAGGGTTGTGAATTGTGTTGGAGGTGCTGCTCCAACAAGGGATCTCGCCGCAGTGTATGTGAAAAATGAGGAGTCAGCTTTGGTTGTGTTTTGGGTTGGGGGCCATGGGAAATTCTGGGGTGAGATATCATCAGCATGATGATGGTGATTAGCCAATATGAATGGTGAAAAATTGGAGAAGAAATTTACAAGAAGTGTTAGGGTTACAAAATGGGTTGTTTTTGTTAGAGCCATCGAGGAAGAGATGGCCTAAAAGGGGTTTCTTTGATTTTGACTAGCTGAGAGTGAAGTAGAAAATTTAGTAGTGAACATGAATGGTGCGTTTTGGCTTTTATTTATAAGAGTGAAATGAATGGAGTTAATAAGGTAGATTGTCATTTTCTACAAACGAGACGTACGTTGTGAATGAAGGTGGAAAATTTCTAGTGGGTTGTTTGACTTTGACTTTGACTTTGACTTTTGAAATGTTTTTGACTGTGTGAAATGGTGTCAGATCGTAGAAAGAACTTACCATAATGATATAGTGATGGGAATGAAGATTAAGTAGAGATTTTTACAGTTTGAAGAAATACGAGCTGTGCTTGGACAATTATTGACAAATGACAATGTTGCAACTTGGATGCCTGAATTTTCTTTTTCTCTTATAAATCATCTGACTTCACTTAAATATATGTAAAATTCATCCGTTAAGAACCTTTGCTTTAGTTATTAACCTCTCTAGGCCCATGATTCTTGGTGAACTATATGAATTTAATATGTTTACTCACCAAAAAGGGGGAAAAAAAAAAGAAGGAAGAATAAGTTAATATGGATTTTGTCGGGTTGGTGTTGCAATTGATTCATATTGTTCTTTTGTTGTTCTAAAACTTGAAAGGTTTAGTGATGATAATCTTTCTTCTATGTGAATTAAAAGCTTCACTTCGAAGATATTTGAAAATCAGAAAATCTGCCTACAAAGAGATCCATTCCAGCTTGGAACATTTTAAGAGGGGGCCGGAGTGCGATCATTTTGCTCGCATGAGAGAAGTAAAATTGCTACAAGGTTTACAAGTAATTTACTGCTAGGGAGAAGTTAAAGGGTAGTAATTCGCTACCCAAGTTTAATCTTTCAACCGTGACCCAAGTTTCATCTTTCAACTACCGTGGGGTAAAACTAATGGGACTGTTTGACATTCATGATCAGAATCATCAATCATGTCTGACTTTCAGAATTTAAAACATTCGTTAATTTCAATTTTTGTTATCATAAAAAAATAACATTTTTCATTACTATTCCTTTTGGGTTTCCTTCTTGACCAATAACAAATTAACAATGCGAGCGTTGTTATCATATTATATTATCGTACGTACTAATGTAGTAATGTCGTGCTTGACCTCTTTACGAGTATAAACAATAACGGGTTTGAAAATCAATATGAGCCGTCCTGACCATCCAACCGCTATTCTATTGCCATTATCTATTATCGACTTACTGATATGTTGTTACATTGTTCCGGCAGAAGTCCGATTTCAATAAGCATGGCTGCAACTCATTTTTATTACTTCACTCAGTTTTTCCCATCGTGATATTACTTTGATCAAAATTGAACCAAATAAACAGAGTTTTTCAAAAGGGATTACTCTGATGTGGAATACTCCCTCCATCGCGAAATTATTGTCCAGATTGGATTTTCAGTTATTATACAAATTGAACTGAAAGTGAAAATTCAAACTGGATGATAATTTTGGGACGGAGAGAGTATATGTTATGGCCTGATCCACAAAATTGGTGAACTCAACGCATAAGGTTTCATCTTGAATTCTTATAATAATTTCTTGGCATGGCAAAAAGGTCATTAGAAACTTTCTGTCATTTTGTTCTCATCATTTTGATCTTCTGCTTTTATTAAATTTCATGTTGAAAACTCAAAGGAGAGTTCACAAATCAAACTACATAGAAGCACCAACAATATGATTAAACCAACCAGAGAACGAGAAATTAGTCTTTACATGATCCAGCAAGAATGAAAGAGAGTTAGCTGACACAAAAGATTGGATGGTAAATTAGGCATGGTAATGGTACTTATATATGCCCGTCAGCAAATTAATCATGCGAAAAAGTGAGACTGCTTTTGTAACTCAAAAACAGCAAGAAAATACTATGGCCTTTTCCTCATTCTCAATGCAAATTACCCTTCTAATTAGCTTTCTTGCAGTGTTTACCAATTGTTTGTCGGCTAAAGCTGGTGATCCTGATATCACATCAGATTTCTTGATCCCTCCAGATGTAACAACAAGTGATATTGACGGGAGTTTCTTTACTTACTCCGGCCTTCACCGGGTGATCGGATCGTCGGTTTCTAAATTCACTTTAACCAGAGTTAGCAAAACAGAGTTCCCTGCTCTGGATGGGCAGAGTGTTTCCATGTCTGTCCTCCAGTTTCCGGCTGGCAGCGTTAACCCGCCACATACCCACCCTCGCGCTGCCGAGCTCTTATTCGTCATTAGAGGCAGTCTCGAGGTTGGTTTTGTGGACACAACAAACAAACTCTATACTCAAACGCTATTAGCCAATGAGCTGTTTGTGTTCCCAAAAGGAATGGTGCATTATCAGTACAATTCCAATCCTTACTCTGCAGCCACCGCGATTTCTGCCTTCGGCAGTTCAAATGCTGGCACTGCGTCGCTCCCGGCGTCTTTGTTTTCCTCAAACATTGAGGATCCAATTCTTGCTAGGTCATTCAGAACTGATGTTGTCACTATTCAGAGAATTAAGGCCGGTCTTGCCAACCAAGCTTAGCGATAGAATATGTTATTCTTTTTCTTGGCCTGAATACGTTTTGTTATGTATCTTTTAAATGATTACCAATAATGCAAAAGAGAGAAGTTGTTGACAAAACAGAGGTTATTCAGTACAACTGTTTATAGCGAGGTAGGAAATGCTGCATTTAGCCCATAACAGTAAGCCGCTAAATTTGTAGCCGGCTAGGCTAGACAAAGCAATTAAATAATCTTCATGAGCACAAACACCTGAACACCATGGCCTCATTATCAATATCGTCAGTTGCCCTGTAATGCCTTGAAATTGAGTGAATTTGATAGAGCGAAATAATGTCGTATTCGGAAATTGAGATGTAATTCCCTAAGAAAGCAGCTTAATATAACCTTGCTTGAAATGCATATAATTAAGGGACTACAGTCCAGAAATTAATCACTTGACTCTCATTCATTCCAATGAATTCAAAGTGAGACGGAAACATATAAAGATGTGATTTTGGCTGGGAAGAATTGACCCAGATATTTCGAAAATAAATAAGTAATAATTGGAGCACAATTCAATTCTGTTTTAGCTTTTATTTATGGACTGAAATTGATGAAGACGTGAAGTTAATAAAGGTAGATTTCCATTTTCTGCAATAGAAATGTATGTTATAATTGAAAATCTACAAGTTCAGGTAACCTGTTTGACTTTGAACAACTGACCTTGGCTTTTGAAATGTTTTTGACTGTGTGACATGGTCTCAGACCTACCATAATGATATACTGATGGGAGGTAAGATTGTGCAGAGACTAGAGATTTTTACATTTTTTACGAAAGAAGAGCTAAGAACTAAGGAGTTTTGTCAAAGTATATATATAAGTACTTTGGACTTCCATCTCAAAATCAATTGGCAATGAGTGGGGTGGCGTTTGAAACTTATATACTGTGTCACTTCTCTTCACGATGACGATGTGGGACAAATATTATACTTTAACTAGTTTTCAGTGAACACTAAGAAGCTAAAATGAAATTGGCAAGCTCTTAAACATTGAGATATTTTGAATGTGTGTGATGAAAAGGTCCATCTCCCAAAAATCAAGATTAGTTTTTATTTTACTCCCTCCGTCCTATAATTATTGTCCAGTTTGAGTTTTCATTTCTAACTCAAACTATACTAAAAGTGAAATCTTAAACTGGACAATAGTTTTGGAACAGAGGAAGTACTAAATATAATGACCAGTAGTTTATTTGGGGTGTTTACTCGCTTCCCAAATTAGATACAAAGATTGAATATGAACAACCAAAAGTTTAATAATTGGCGACCAAGTTTCAGTTTATTTTTCCATTTCGCGGGTCCGGATACATCATCAACTTACAAACTTATGGCCGTCAATAATAACTTCGGCACACTACATAGAGACCAGAATGAGGAAATGTCTTAATTCAGAAATCGCGAAAGTCGTGTACGTTAACTGATACACAAGATGCTATATGGCCCATGAAAATGCTTCTGCAGAGTCAACAGGATTTGACACGAGTGTTTAATACTACTTTCCTTCCAAAATGATTGTTTATTATAATATTAAAAAAAAATTTTAAAATAGATAATTATTGTGGAATAGGGGAAGTGTTTCTACTAAAAAGGCATTAACATATCTATTCTAATTATCAAGAATGTACATGTATGAGCAAATCAGCTTGTCACCTAAAATTTAATTATGATAACAACCCATCAAGATCCTTTCATGGCTCATAATTTTTTATAAATAGACCAAGACTTTGATTCAACAAACATCAAGATCAAGCCGGCAAGTTGCTAGCTTTGCAATTGCAAATCTCAAGCATTCATGACTACACAGATAAGGAAAATATGTTCATTCATGAACATATTGATTACCATATGCAAATTTTTTTCAGGTAACTTGTTCAGCATACAGTCATGATGAACTAATGAGGAAAATCTTTGTGCATATTTGTTGAGGGTCACATGGCAAGGGTTGTGAATCCCACATCGGAGGTATGAGGACATGTGAATCACTTAATAAGTAAGGTGGACTTAAAACCCATTAATTTGAGCTTTTAGGTCCAGATGTGTCTTATCTTACTTATTGGTCTCCATATTAGGTTTTCTCTCCTGGATAAATTCCCAACAGTGGTATCAGAACCCAGGTTGAGCCAGTTGGGTGGGTGATTTAGCCCAAATTATCTCGGTTGATCTTACTGGACCCAGACAGTCAAAGGCTCACTACGAGCAAAAACGTAGGGATGGGCAGCCCAGTTACTCAGGTGGAGTATAGATTTGGGCTTGTTAAGATAATTTCGAAGCCCGATGTGGAGATTACGCATGACGAGGGAGAATGTTGAGGGTCATGTGGTAAGGGTCGTGAATCTCACATCGGAGGTATGAGAACATGTGAATCACTTAATAAGTAAGGGGGACTCAGAACCCATTAACTTGAGTTTTTGGGTCCTGATGGATCTTATCTTACTTATTAGCCTCGGAGGCATGAGAACATGTGAATCACTTAATAAGTAAGGGGGACTCAGAACTCATTAACTTGAGCTTTTGGGTCCAGATGGATCTTATCTTACTTATTGGCCTCCATGTCGGGTTTTCTCTCCCAGATAAATCCCCAACAATATTTACCTCCAATCTCAAGATCTTTCATAAGAGCTCACACATGTTGAGATGGAATGTCTATTGCCTTTGGGAACGATCACTTTGAAGAAAAAGCGGATTCAGTCAACCTCTTGAATCACTTTACCTACTTTGCGAGGGTAAAATTACAATAATTAATTTTTTTTATATCTCAAAATAGTTATCCAGTTAGAAATTTTATTCATTTAATGCAAATTGTACTAAATTGAAATCCAAACAGAAAAATCATCTTGTAGTATCCAGAATTATTTATACTATTATGGATATAATACAATTATATAGTAATAACTTATTATACTTTTATTATATGATTTTTTATGTATTGCTTTATGCTGCAAAAGTGTAATACAGTAAAACTTCTATAAATTAATATTGTCATGACCACCAAAACTTACTTATTTAGTTAATTATTAAATATTCGATAAATTAATAAATTATTAATTTAAAAAGATCTCTTAGGAAAAAGGAACCCTTACTAAAATATATAATTTTTGATTATGTTTATCATCCGAATCAAGCAAGTATTGAAAATTTTTTGGACATTGAAGGCCATACATAATTTATATTATCTTGAGAGAATTAAAAAAAAAAACAAGTTCATTTTTTATTAAATGTTTATAGTCATAGTAATATTTTTTGCAAAAAAAAATATAGTATTATTTCCTTGCATTTAGGATATTTATTAATTTATGGTATTATTGGGACCTATATAAGAAATTTTTTAGAACATTATTATCTTATCATTTTTTTAAGTTTTTCTTACCTTTTGTATTGGTCCCAAGTTAGGACCAGAGAAAATTATTAATTGCTAGAAATTATTAATTTTTATTTATTAATTTACCTATGTTGTACTATAAAATAAAATCAGTATGTGCATTATCATGGACTACATTTAATAAAAAGAACATATTGGCTCACAAAATTTAACATGTTACAACGAAAGAATTCTTAACCAGTTACAATCTATCGCATCCTATGTAGTGGTGGAGAGTGTAATTAGATGATAATTATAGTATAAACCAATGCAGCGAAGTTAACAAAAATATAATTAAAAAAGTTATAATATTATACCCAAAATAGTGTAAATCATTGTGGATGTTTAAGATGATGTTAGTGTTAAGTATCCCACATTGATGGTGGGAGAGACTTGATATCAATGTATAAGTCTATGGGCTACTCCCCTCAATGCCAATTGGTTTTGAGGTAAAACTCCATGAACTTTTATATGGTATCAGAGCCCGTCCGTCAAAAGTCGGACTCTAAAGCCTGATGTGATAGAACTAGTAGGGCTGATGTGAGGCGGCGACTGGGCTGACAAACCCAACCCTAGAAGAGACGTTGTGCTTGCGGGGGAGTGTTGAGTATCCCACATCGGTGGTGGGAGAGACTTGATATCAATATATAAGTCTATGGGCTACTTCCCTCATTGCCAATTGGTTTTGAGGTGGAACCCCATGTACTTCAATAGTTAGGACAAAGTTGGTTTTGAGGTGGAACCCCATGGACTTTTATAGTTAGGACAAAGACTCAAAGAGAGTATGAGGTGGAACCCTATAGACTTCTATAGTTAGGACAAAGACTCAAAGAGAGTACTTAATTTGGAGATTAGGAGATTTAAATCTCTTATAAAAGGGGTTGAATGAGTTATATTGCTCTATTTTCCCGCATAAAATAAAATTATCTCATGGCTTCCTGCGTTGAATTTTTATTTTTTTCAGATCCCTAAAGTGATTAATAATTTGTGAGTTGTCCAATTGTCTCTTGTAGCGTAGTTCTATCAATTATAAAGGAGTTGGGTTTGAACGCTAGTTGACGATCAAATCCATCAGTAGCCAAAGCTCATAAGGGGAAAAAAAAGCAAACAAAAAAAAAAAAAGGAAATAGCGACGCCTCTGCGCTCTTGGGAATCCACGCAATTGTTATTGATCTGCCATCTATTTGCTCTTACAATCAGTTTTTGTCAAGCACAGGATCCAAGAGGTAAGCTAAGCTAATCCCTTGATGAAGTATTCATAATCAAATTCAAATTAATAATCTTTTACCAGCAATTTTTGGTATATACCATCTCCTGCAACACGTTTTATTATCTGAGCGCAGACTTCATAAGCATCGATTGTGGGTTATCTGTTGAAACCGGGAACTACACAGATGACCAGACCGGCCTTCCTTTTGTTACAGATGAAACTTATATAGACACCGGCGTCAGTAAGGATGTGGCTGCAGATTACTTGAACGACGGCGTCATCGATTCTCGGTATCTTCGGACCGTCAGAAGTTTCCCTGACGGTACTAAGAACTGCTACAACCTCACTTCCATACAGGGAAAGGGTACTAAGTATCTTATCCGAGCAACCTTTTTGTACGGGAACTACGATGGCCTGAATCGAACAACAACGTTTGAACTTCATCTGGGAGTGGAGCTGTGGGACACTGTGACACTGAATGATTCAACGTCGGTTATTTTCAAAGAGCTCATTCATATCGTAACATCAAACTATTTTTATGTATGTCTAGTCAACGTAGACACCGGAACACCTTTTATCTCAGCGTTAGAGCTTCGGCCGTTGAATCCAACTTTTTATCTCATCAATAGCGATGGTCAATCAATGGCTACCGTGGTTCACTACAACTTCGGTCCTGCAGATCCCAACAAAGTTATCAGGTAAATCATTAAGCAACAATTTAGTCTCAGTTCCCATTCATCCATTCTTTTTTGTTCTTTTAGGTGTCAAAACTTAAATCCTCCTATGGTAACAAACAAGAACTATAACAATAAAAAAAATATCTTAACTTCATGTCAAATAATTTCACCACTCCGAAATAATTATCAAAATTTAGATTTTATTTGTAGTATAAATTGTACAAAGGATAAAAATTCAAATTATTAAAACTATTATTTTGGGACGGAGAAATTGCATAACTTATATATTTTGGGCAAAAGAATAAGTTCACTAACCATCGAACACTAAAAAGTCTTACTCCAACCGTCCTAAAAAAATAATCCATGTTAAAATTTCAATTTTTTTTTTGTGTTTTTTTATACAAATTTCACAACTCAATTCACATTTTGCATTAATTGCATTAAATTTTATCTCAAACACTTAACTCACAATTGGTCAACAAACAACTACTTCCTCTGTCCTGAAATTATTGCCCACTTCAAATTTTCATTTGCAATACAAATGGAACTAAAAGTGAAAATTCAAACCGGGAAAATAATTTTGGAACATATGGATTACAATTAAATTGGATTTGGTTGCTATTCTGGAAAGAGGAACTAAAATTTTATTGGGTTGTTCTTCATTAGGTACCCAGATGATCACTTTGATAGGCAATGGAAACCTTATCCCTCGGTTGATGCTTACTCTCCTATATCAAACAGCAGAGTCAATATTAACATTGCAGACTGCGGTTACTACCCACCTCAGGCAGCTATGCAAACCGCCATAACTCCGGTGTCTGGTGTAAACATATCTCTCTCTATCTCGCTTCCTGATCCCAGCGTTGCGTACTATTTCTACATATATTTCTCTGAGATTGCAATACTACAGAGCAATGAGTCCAGAGTAATTGATAGTTTGAGTCCCAAGTGGCAAGACTGGGTTCTGCCGTTGACTCCTCAATACGCCATGGCAACTGGTATGTGGAGCTGGTATTCTAGTCCGTCATCAACTATTGAAATTGACCTTGAGAAATTTGGAAATTCATCTCTTCCACCCATCCTTAACGCGATCGAGGTTTATTCAATTAAGAAATTCCAGCAATCACAAACCGATGAAAAGGATGGTAAGTATGATTGTTGTTGGTGTTTTTTTTTTTTTTTTCATGTTTTTATTACCCCCACTTGATAGGTGACTAGTTCAGGCCCTGATGAATCTAAGAACTAAGAACTAGGCTCATTTCATTTTGCGTTTTGCCCTGTTTTTGAACTCTACAGTTGGTGCAATCCTTAATATCAAGTCAACATACGGAGTGCAGAGGAATTGGCAAGGGGATCCTTGTTTACCTTCCTCTTCGGATGGTCTTGATTGTTTCACCTTTTCTGATAAGAGTGTTCCTCCCAGGATCAAATCTCTGTATGTTTCTGCAGAAGAAGAAAAAGAAAACGAAAATGTTCCCTTCATCGAACTATTTGGATTTCTTTTTTGCAGTATACTAATTTCAATTTCAATTTCCAATTCAGGAACTTGTCCTCAAGTGGGTTGGCCGGGAATGTGTCTGTTTATCTATCAAATCTCATGTACGTGGAGCAACTGTAAGTAATTTATCATCTATTTCTCATAAGTTATTAACACGGCACCTCTTTCTACAAGCATGTTAAGAGATTGATTATGTCAGGGACTTGTCGAATAACCATTTGACCGGAGCAATTCCAGATTTTCTAGCGAATCTGTCTCAGTTAAATTTGCTGTGAGTAGCTACTAAACAAACCACCAATCAGGAATATCATTTTGTCAGTAATTGTGAATATTGAGACTTTGTTGATCAAACATACATTTGCCTCTTGTAGGTACTTATCAGGAAACAACTTCTCTGGGTCCATTCCACAAAGACTTCTTGACATGGCAAAGAGAAATCTGAAACTACGGTTCGAATTTGACCATCCTCTCCTCTTTTGTGTAGGTTTTACTAGTTGCGTCTCTTGATATACAAATGCATTGTGTTGATAGTGTCGATGGTTATGCTGAAAATGAGCCTGGACCGCCAAATTCTAGTGGAAATGGACAGTGTAAGCGCGAAAGGTCACAAAATTTTGTAGTTCCTGTTGTCTCGGTCATGGCATCCTTGGTCGTATTGGCTTTGTTAATTGCGATCATTATGTTGAGAAGGACGAGAAAGCACCAAGGTATGTATGGAGATTAGTTTCCTTAAAAAATCAGCATTATCATTTCCAATTCCTGGATTTGATGTTCTGTTGTTGCAAACTTAACAGGCAATACGAACAGAAAAGATGGGTTTATTGAGCCGAAAAACATGCAGTTTACATACCCTGATATCTTGAAGATGACAAACAATTTTCAAAGGGTTCTAGGAAAAGGTTTTGGCACAGTATATCATGGACTCACAGCAGATGGCAAACAAGTAGCCGTGAAGTTACTCTCCTCGACTTCTGCGCAAGGGTACAGAGAGTTTCAGACAGAGGTGATTAAGCAGATAGCCCTTGAAGCTTGCAAGTTCAAAAACAAATATTGACTTCGTCAAGTACAAGTAGTACTTGTTTTCTTTCTATTAATGAGCCGACGACCAAATCAGAATCTGGTTGATGCCGGGATCAAACTTAAATTACTTTATGCCTGGATCAGAAACTGTCTGTTTTTAGTAGATCAACACTAACATAACATTTTTTTTGACTGCAGGCGGAGCTACTAACAAGGGTTCATCATCGCAACTTAACATCTCTGATTGGCTATTGCCTTGATGATGATCACATGAGCCTAGTATACGAGTACATGGCTTATGGAAACTTAAGAGAGCACCTTTCAGGTACAATGGACTTGTGTTTGTTGTAATACCTTTTTGTTGGCTTTGTTGGGCTTTTCGAAAAAAATATGTACATCTAGACTTTCTTCATACTGCTTCACATCTCCAGTCACTTTCTCTTCCCTGATTTGCGTATACTTTTGTCTAGGAATGTAGCTTATGTATTAATCACTTGCAAGCATTTGTTTTTTATCTGTCAGCAACTGATGGCAACGTCTTGACTTGGTCTAAAAGGCTTCAGATTGCATTAGATGCAGCACAAGGTGAGGATCCCCTTTTACCTACCATTTAATTACTGATCGATGATTTACACCATGATGAAAAATGGGATATTTCAGGACTCGATTATTTACACAATGGCTGCAAACCCCCCATTAGTACACAGAGATGTAAAATCTACAAACATCTTATTAACTGAAAATTTTGAGGCCAAATTGGCTGATTTTGGACTATCTAGAGCGTTTACCATCGATGATGGCTCTCATGTGTCAACCAGAGTGGTCGGCACGTTCGGTTACCTTGATCCTGAGTGAGTAACTTATGGTTTCACATTTTGCAATTATACTTCTTAGGTTGATTTAACATGACACATGATATACATATAATTAGTATCACGCAAAATAGTGTGTTTGATCAATCATTTACTCAAAAAAAAAGTGATCTGCCCTGATCAGGTACTATGCGACGCAGAAACTTCATGAAAAAAGTGATATCTATAGCTTTGGAATTGTTATCTTAGAGCTAATCACTGGAAGGACAGCAATCATGGGGACTGAAGAGAAGTGCCACTTAGTGCAGTGGGTTAGTAATTTAGCAGCCGCAGGGGATATTGCATGTATTATCGATCCAAAGTTGAATGGAATGTATGATGTGGCGTCGGCTTGGATAGCTTTGGAAGTAGCCATCGCATGTACCTCTCCATCTTCTCGCAACAGACCAAATATGGATCATGTCGTGACGGAGTTAAAAGAGTGTCTAATTGCGCAGAAAGTTTCAGCAGAAAGCAAAAGTACAGATGAAAGTGTTTTGCTTGAAATGAACCCTGAGAATCTTAGAAGCTGAAGTTGGGACCAGGTAATCGGATAAGTTATTTAGTAGTACATCTCTTGTATAACAAAGGCTCAGGAGAAAAGTTTTTTGCGTCTTTGACTGCATTATGTAAATCCAGTAGATGGACTGAATAAGTTAAAATCATTATCATTCGTCGTCGATGTTTATGGAATCTTGATTGCAGAAGATCCATGGTTTGTATGGATTGCGGTTTGTCCAATTTTATAAAAAAATGTGTTAATGATGAGATTTTCGAAAGATATACCACCTTTTAGTAAAGAAGGTCACAAGCACTAACCTGACCAAACATTTAGGGCTGTAACATTTGAACAGAGTCAGCAGACTAAGTTGTGAGTGGAGCTTGAAAAGGGAATGCTACTACTAGATTAATTATGATCACTTCGCGAAGGAATCACATTTCTAGCCACCAGGATCTGCTTTGTATATAGGTAAAGTCGTCATAATTTCATGGAAAAGGGCTCTATGACCGTCGACTCAGTGCCATCCAGATCTGATATGTGCCCGCATCACGAGCATATCCTTGATCCAGATTCCAGAACATGGAAAATGCATTTGTCCAAATTTGAGTTAATTTATGTCTTGTGTTCCTTGAGTTGCTGATAGAGAGAAGTCTGGGTCACGAAGTTAAGGTTCTTGTTCCCGAACTGCAGGACAATAAAAGCTGCTCCGCTTAGTCAAAATGAGTTGAATCAATGATTCATCGAGCTCCCCGGGGAAAATCCGCTCGTTACAACTCATAAGGTGTGCAAGGTTGACTTCAGCAAATGTAAAATTTTTTTATCCAAGATAAGTTGTTAGTAGCTAGATGGTTGACAATTAGACTCTAGGCAAGATACCTATTTTTTTTCGAAAATGACAAGTCTTTTCAGGTGGATGATTCTTGATTATTTTGTTGCCATGGTATTCGAACATTTTCCCTTAAAACAGCTTCTATAAGGTAGTAACTTTGTTTTTTCATAACTTCAGATCTTTTGCATTTCTATAGTTCATGGGCATTAGCTGCTTCAAAATGAACGGTTCAACAACAATAAAGAAAGCAATGCCAACAATATGACCAAATAGAAAATTACTAGGAAAGATAACTCTTTACATGATCCGTAAGGGAGTTAGATGACACAAAAGATAGGATGGTATAAATTTGTGCAATTTATTTATACGCTAACGATATATGGCCAAAAGTCATGAGAAAAGTGAAAACCCTATTTTAACTCGAAAACAAGAAAATACTATGGCCTCCTCCTCATTCTCAATGCAAATTACCCTTCTACTTAGCTTTCTGTCCGTGTTTACCAATTGTTTGTCGGCTAGAGCTGGTGATCCTGATATCTCATCGGATTTCTTGATCCCTCCAGATCTAACTGAGAGTGATATAGACGGAAGTTTCTTTACTTACTCCGGCCTTCACCGGGTGATCGGTACATCGGTTTCCAAATTCACATTAACCAGAGTTAGCAAAACAGAGTTCCCTGCTCTGGATGGGCAGAGTGTTTCCATGTCGGTCCTCCAGTTTCCGGCTGGTGGAGTAAACCCGCCACATATCCATCCTCGCGCGGCCGAGCTCTTATTCGTCATTAGAAGCAGTCTTGAGGTTGGTTTTGTGGACACAACAAACAAACTCTACACACAAACGCTATTAGCCAATGAGCTGTTTGTGTTCCCAAAAGGAATGGTGCATTATCAGTACAATTCCAATCCTTACTCTGCAGCCACCGCGATTTCTGCCTTTGGTAGTGCAAATGCTGGCACGGCGTCGATTCCCGCATCTTTGTTTTCCTCAAACATTGAGGATCCTATTCTCGCTAGGTCGTTCAGGACTGATGTTGTCACTATTCAGAGAATTAAGGCAGGTCTTGCTAACCAAGCTTAGCTATAGAATATGTTTTTCTTTTTTTTTCCCGAATAAATTTCGTTATAATATCTTTTGGATGATCAATAATGTAACAGAGAGACATTGTTGACAAAACAGAATTTATTTATCTTATTCAATGATACAAATGTTTCTAACAACCACGTTCGAGATAGCGGGTTACTGTTAAAAAAAAATGCAAAATTTTCTTACCTCTTATGTCGGATGGAGAGAAATAAGGCTACAAAGGAATTGAATGTAATCATCGTAATCATGCTTAACAGTGACATTGAGTTTAAGAATTGCCCTCAAATTAACTTCATCAATTCACTCAGCACTCAAAATCCCATATGGCCTTTAACAAATCTGAGATACCCAGTCCAACCCAGCATAGAAACTTTAACATAAAATCTTGGATCATCACCTTCAATTTCCAAACTGATGTCTTTAGTTATGCGACATTTTTGTATCAAATGGTGAGTTATTTTAAGCGAATAGTCCTTTCAAGAGAAACCTCAATAATTATCTGTTTATTGGCATACTCGACCTGCAGACCACATAGTACACATGCATATAATTAACCATTCGTTTGATTTTAACTCAATTAACACTTTATGTTAACCCCTTTTGTCGGAGCAATTTGGCCAACTGAATCATAAGAAATGTAAATTGGTTGTCACAAAAGTTTTCAACTTGTTAGACAGATCACACAGCAAGATCATCCAATAAAATTGTAACGAGACGATCTTTAGTCTATTGGAAGGTCCGATAAGTTTTTATAGAATCTTAAAAGCCATACCAGTTATAGTCGTCTTATTTTGTCGTAAATTCTAAAGCTCAGGAAAAATCTTCCTATCTTCCTGCCAGAAATTTAACTGTCTTTTTCGCAGCGTAAAAAATGATCACAACCAAATCTCAGAGAAACATAGTGAATATCATCAAATTTCGGCCGGCAAGACAAAAGCAACCAAACGTCCTAATATGCATATAAATGGGGTGAGATTCAATCACCAAACAATCTTCATCGGCACAAAAACCTGAGCACAATGGCCTCACCATTATCAGTATCGTCAGTTGCCCTTTTAACCCTTGTAGCTTTTATTTTGGCCAACTCTTTGTTAGCTAGAGCTGGTGATCCTGATATCACATCAGATTTCCTAGTCCCTGATAACATAAATGCAAGTACTATCAATGGAACCTTCTTCACCAACACCGGTTTTCGCGGGATATTCGGTACAATAGTACCAAAACTCACAATAACAAAAGCAACCAAAACAGAGTTCCCTGCTTTAGACGGGCAGAGTGTTTCGTTTGCAGTGGTGCAATATCCGGCAGGCAGCGTAAACCCGCCTCACGTCCACCCGCGCTCGGCCGAGCTCTTATTCGTACTGAAAGGAAGCCTTGATGTTGGATTTGTGGATACAACAAACAAATTATTCACTCAGACACTTCAAGAGAATGATATGTTTGTTTTCCCAAAGGGATTAGTCCATTTTCAGTTTAACTCTGACCCCAATTCCGCAGCCACGGCTATCGCGGCTTTCGGCAGTGTAAATGCAGGAACAGCTTCTCTGCCAACTACTCTGTTTTCTACAAATATTGATGATGATGTTCTTGCTGAGTCCTTTAAGACTGATGTTCCCACCATCCTGAAGATCAAGGCAGGTCTTGCACCCCCAGCTTAATCAAAACAAGTTTGTATTTAGTCGATTTTTATTTTTTTTTTGTAATAGTATTAGAAATTCCAGGTTATTTCCAATGATTTTTACAGAATAATCTTTCTTCTAAAAATGTCATGGAGGTTTTCTAATCAATATTTTCTTTTCCAATTTATTCAATACAACTACCTTGGATTGTTCGCAATTTTTCATGGTTAATTTAGTTACTTTAGTACTAGCACAGTATGTTGGGTTAATTGTGTCTTTCTCAAATAATAAGAAATATTCTAGAGTTTAACAAATTAAGGGTAAGTTTCAATCCGAATTTAAGAAGGAATTACAGAATTAGGCAACTCATCGTTGCTGAAAACAGGATAATAAATAGACAACGCAAACCTCTCCAATGTAAATTCTCCGAAGTATTTTTTTTAGCAAACGAAAAACCATCAATCGACGACTCCAAGCAGCTCCTCGGAATCCCAACCCCCGCACGAAAACATGTTCCTGTACCACCACGATTTTGATTTTCCAGTAGTGCTTACTGCCGTCATATGGTTTGGTCTATTTTATTGTTGCCTGAAGTTTGAAGGTGAACAATCCGATGAGCCCTCGTCCGGCGGCGCCGCACCAAGAATCCGACACCAAAATCCACATTCTCTTCCCCAGCGTTTGCAACCATTTGTTATTCCTCTTGAACCCCGCCGCCAAGTTCCCGGCAACGCGGCGCCAGCAATTAGGCCAGAGCAGCCGGAATCTACATCGGCGCGACCTCCTCTTACGGAAATAATTATTGATATTCCGGAACACTACGATTATGATAATAATAAGAATACAGAATGTGCAATATGTCTTGAAAGCCTAGGATCTTATTCTTCGACAGCGGTTCTTCCGGGATGCCACCATAGCTTTCATCCTGATTGCATTGCTGTATGGTTGGCAATTCATCGAACTTGTCCTTTGTGTCGGCTGCCGGCCGCCGCCGCCGTGAACCGAGGCGGCAAAGATCGTGGATGTGCATTATGTCGTGCTTTTTATGTTCCGGAAACGGCATCGCCGGGGCGGCCTTCACGGCGGACGTGGGATGATCTTCCGATGTGCGGGCATAGCTTTCATTCTAATTGTCTTGATGCATGGTTGCGCTATTCTCAAACTTGTCCAATATGTAACACTTAATAGTAGTACTAACTGACTGTGTTAGTATAGTTATGTAGTTTTGGGACAGAGAAAAAATATTAATTAATACATCTATATCCATGTTTTAGCACTCAGTGGTGGTTCTCCTTCTCCAAGTGAATTTTTTAATCCAAGTCCCCTGCTATTTCTTTTCATCAGAAAATTTTCCCGCCTTCTCCTTTCTCTTCAATGTTTTTGCTTGATTATTCTTTCCCTTTTTTTTTTTTCTTGTCCAGTTGTAAAGCTGTAGCCGGATAAGGCTACATTAATCAACAGATGTAAAACGAAGTTTTTTAAAATACTTGTTAAACTTATTCGAAGAGACCTAACCGATCCGAATTTGAATTTAGAGGATGATTTTTGCGACCTAGTGCGTCATGTATAGTTTTCTTCTTCTTCTTTTGTTTTTTTTTTTTTTTCCTTTCTCCGTTCTCATTCTTCTCGATTTTACTCTAACAAATCAATACTTTAGACTTCAAACCACATTGGAAAAAAAAAAAAGAAGTTAAGGATCTACAGTAACAACGCGGAATAGAGAATTTGAGAACCAACTTAATTAATCAGTACTCTTTATTACTTCCCAAATACGGATGTGGGACAACTATTCATACTCATGGTCTCAAGGGTAATATATAGTTTCATTTAGCCTACAATTAAACATCAAAACATTCCTCATTTGAATCTTTGACAGTACTATATCATGTTGTTGCAAATCCTGCTCCTGTATGGTTCACAAACAATATACTGCTAATGATCTCACTGCTTTGCAATCAATCACCTTTCACGACTGCTTTTGAGTTCAAGCAGTTGTTCCATGATGGAGGGAATGCATTGCATCACAAAATGCTTGTATCCAACTATTTAATGGCTTGTGGGATCTTATTCTCGACAGTTTACCAGGCTTTGAATGAATGGGGAAAGATTTTATAGATCCTCGAAAAGGGCAAAGAGTTGCAGGGCAATGAAACCTCACGCAGGAGACTTTTTTCGAACTACATTAGGAGCATAGTGAATAGTGGCAACCATCACACTTCAGCGCCCATGGCAACATTTCCCATCTTGCTAACCAATAAAAGCCAGAGCAGTATCCACTTCTTAAGTTCAGGTAGACCAGATTTAAAATATGCTCCATTTGTAAGAATTCCATTCACAGTAGAGAAGTAGTAGTCACTCCAATATAAATATGGAAAATGATATATATAGTGAAAAAAAAATAGTGAAAAAAGATATCGAGTGATGTGGAGTATTCTTGGCTCCTAATTTTTTGCCATTTTTTCGAAAAAATTTTATCTTTTCCTGAGAATTACATTTTTACCCCTAATTAATAAGTGCGGATATTTAGTGAAGATTGTGTATTTGTTTTTTTATTAGTCATTAATCCATTTCACTATAATTTGTTACTGTCTCTATCATTGCTCTATAAATATTTACTCAAAAGATCCAAGCAAAGGCACCTTCACGCACAATTTCAAAGAAAATAGTATTAATTATTATCAGCACTTTTAAAATAGAGTTAAAAAAAAAACTAAAATCACGCTTAGAACAACTAAACCTGAGAAACAATCAGCAATTTACAAACGATTTAGTTTCACAATAAAAACACCGCAACCTTCATCAATTTAGAATGCAAAAATTTCTGTGGCTCAACAACCTCACTCCAAATCAATATAATCAACCACAGTGAGATAATAGAGATATTCCAAAAATATGTGATGATCAGTGACGCATCTAGAACAAAAATGTAGTGGGGACTAAGTTCACAATAAATATCGCATATTTTATTTGTACGCACTGTAAATTTTCATAGTTTGATACAATGTATAGTTATATACACATCAAAAATTAACTTATTATAAATTATTTCACTGCATTACAAGAATTTGTTTTATTCGAATATACAAATGACTTTCCACAAGTTTCTAAGTTAGAAATGATTCTTTCTACAGTTGTTATATTTTCATTAGTATTTCATTTATCTTTTATTTTGTTTTTAAAAAAATTACAACTCGTTTTTGGGCACACGTAAATAATTTAAGTTATGATTTTAAGACATTGTGTTACGATAAACGTTACAAGTATACAATTGTGCTCGTTGAATGAACTAGGTTTAGTTTCATTAGTCTGATTATAATTAAAAGTAATTCAACTTTAAGTTGATTTCAAAAGAGTTTATGAATTAAAAAACTCTAATTCCAATTTAGATTTAGACAAAACACAATTGTGAGAAATAAACAAGACAATTTGGTCTAAATTACACAAAATTAGTAAATTAAGTAATAAAAACCTTATTAGTACAAGATTAAAATAAATATATAATATTAATTTAGGTTGGGGCCAGTAGGGGCATGGCCCCCTTGCCCTCACCCCAAATCCGTCACTGTATGTGATGCATAAGCCATTACGGTAATTATTAGGACGTGCTTGAAATCATCTTTCTATCGAATAATATTACACTTTACATTTTTTATCAGATAATATTTGTAGGAGAAAGTATCATGTCGATTAAACATTCAAAATGGTCACCCGAAGGAAATCGTCCTAGTGTTAGCTTGAAATCAAAACGAAGATACTTGGGGGAAAAAGGAAATTAGAGGGGGAACGGATAGATGGCTATGATGGGGAATTCGAAAGATTAGATGTCTTTCTTTTCTCCAGGACGGATGAAAGTTATATAGTTATGATGGAAGTTTTAATGGAGTTGGGAATGGCTAGCGCTGCAGATAGTGTGTTATGAATATCGGGTGTTGCACTATTGTTAGCGCTGAATGACGTATGATTTTTTTGAGGCTAAGTTCTAAAATGAGAAGTGACAATAAATAATGTTTAAAAAAAAAACTACTGTGTCATAAAGTGACAAATCAAAACAGTGATAGAGTATGGATACATGAATGAGTTAATTATATTCCCTTGATAATTTTGATTGACAAAAAATATTAACACCAGACGTAGATAGTACCCACGAACAAAATTTCCATATAAAGTTAGTAGTAATTTTTTTAGTGAAAGAAATGTTGTTCATAATTTGTTAGTGAAATTACATTATGTTCTGATCAAATATTGTACTCTCACCGTCCCATAATTATTGTCCAATTTTACTAAAATGAAATATTTTATTTTTGGTCAAACTCAACTATATTTTATCTTGAACAACCGGATATACCCCTACATAAGTAATTATTTAACCACAAAAATTTTATGGATAATATTTTTTACTAAGAACAAATGTGTAACTTGATCCATAAAAAGTCAAATTGGACAATAATTTTTGGACAAAATTTTTTGAGCAAAATGGACAATAATTATGGGAGGAAGGGAGTAGTATTTTTCTTGTTATTCTTTTTTTTCTTAACTCACTCAAATGGTTGGAAACTTGAACTATGAATTTGTCGATTTCTCCATTCATGGGATGATAGTTTTATTTTCTAGACAATAACTTCTTTTATTGTATCAAAATAGTTAATACTCTCTCCGTCCCATAATTACTGTCCACTTTGCCCAAAAACTTTTGTCCCAAAATTATTGTCCAATTTAACTTTTTATGGATCAAGTTACATATTTGTCCTTAGTAAAAAACATTATCCATAAAATTTTAGCGGTTAAACAATTACTTATGTAGGGGTATATCCGGTTGGTTAAGGTAAAATATAATTAAGTTTGACCAAAAATAAAATCTTTCATTTTAGTAAAACTGGACAATAATTATGGGACGGAGGGAATAATAATTTAACTATTCGGTCATTTATACTTTCCTGAACAAAAGTAATACTCCCTCCATCCCATAATTATTGTCCTGTTTGAGTTTTCATTTTTAGTTCTAATTGTACTAAAAGTGAAAATCCAAACAGGACAATAATTATGGGACGGAGGGAGTACAATAAATTGAATTATTTTTTTTTTTCTGAACCAAATCAATAAAGATCTCGTTGAAGGAAACAAGATTATGTCATGTATTTATATTTATTGTGTAGAAGAAACTCCCTTCATACAAGATTCTAAGAAATGTTAACGCAAAATAAGTGTTACTATTGTCTCTAATAATGTGTTATCTCTGATCGAATCAAGACGATCTATGCTACTATTATTGTTTCTGCTCTGCCTTCGCAGGCTCTCACCTCAATTGCACTGCCTCATCAACCCACGTCGACAGATTATAATTAAAGAAGAGGGAAGATATCTCACAACTTGAATTCTTCTTCGTCTCCCTCGTGTGGGATACCATCTCCTTGATCTCTCCGCTCTGACAGAGCAAAAAATTTAGCAAGGAACTGTAGAAAGCTTGAAAACGCTGAACGGTGGAATCCAACGCGGACCCCATGTGCTCCAATATTCTCCGGTGTCCAATTCAGTGGCCATCTCTGCTCCAGCTGCTGATCTGATCATAGCTTGCTTGTTGAATGTGGGCACTTCTCCTTCCTTCAAGGGCTTCACAGTTTCCAGGAGCCACTTTTGGTTCCGATAGATAGCGATGTTGAGTATTAGTGAGAATTTTATGATTTCATGAGAAATTCATAGCCAGGAAACATTAATCTTTGTGATGGTTATGTATAAAACTATACAAGATCCGGGAGAGATGGGACGGAGCTCGGAGCCGGAGAAGATTTGGAGAAGGGAACCCTAAGGCCTAAGAATATCAGTATATTATTCAACGGAGAAAATGAAAATCAAATGCAATGTTCCCAATCAACCACACAAAATCGTGGATCATATGGTGGTAGAACAAGAAGTAAAGAATCCGAAGTTGATGTTTGCTGAGCGAGGAGGAGTAAATATTATACGGGTTTGGGGTAGTTGCTTGGTGATTGTTGGAGTCTTAATTAATCGTACTATTATTAGCTCTGCCCTATAAACATAGTCTCCTGTGATTCAGCCCCAAAAAAAGAAAAGAAAAAAAAAAACGATGGTAGGGAAAGAAGTGAACATGATGGGAAAAATAAAAAATGAAATGCAGTCTCAGCACGAAAATTGAAGGCACGTAACGTTGAACCAACAACTGCGTACGCTTTTGGTTTTTCTTCTTGGTGTGATTTGTTTGATATAGAAATCAAGCTCATTAATATGTGAAATTGTGAAAATCAAAATGAATTACTTACCGAAACAAAATGTAATAACTACAAAATGTGTTTTCTAAAGGGATAATAGTAAAGTGAATGCAAAAATAGTGAATTTATGATTGAGAAAAAAAATAATTTTGGATACTAAGTGCGTAATATGCACCCAAAAAGAAAAGATAAAATAATAGAATGCATTCCTTGCCATTTAACTATTTATTACCAAAACAAAAGATTTACTAGTAACTACCTGTTAAAACTTAGACGCGGGTGATTTCTTTCCTAGCCCGTCTCTTTCTAATTTTTTTTTTTAAAATTATTGTTTTTTACTATTTTTTTATCGTTAGGTCAATGCTAGAATGCGTGGAAATCACTAAGACAGTATGGAGGCAACAGTTCTTAAAACGGGGGCTCGAAATTATGGTCATTCCAATCCAAAATAAACGTTTGTGCTAATATCAATAATCTAAATCCCACAATAATTTTACAATTAATATCGAGAGATTATACGGCAAGATGTAAAATAATAAAATGTAAGAAAATCAAGTAATATAGTTTGATGGACTTGGTTAAATTGATTACCAGCACTCTCAAATACTCCAATGAGTCAGTGCTCTTGCAAATTAAATGTTACTGCTAATATTGTTTTCATAAAGTTTTTCATTTTTTCATTAATTCGCATTTCCTATTTGTTTTTTTTTTCTCCTCTCCTTGATGAGCTTTTATGAAATTAAATAAATTATTACCACAATAGCTAAATGATACACTATAATTGGTAAGATTAGCAATTACATATTTGTCACTGGAGAAAAAATATAACCTACAAAAAGAGATGAATATATACAAGATATCAATATGCTTGGAAACATTACGTTTGGCATGAATTCATCATTATGCCATAATAAATACTACTTACGTCCCAAAAAAATAGTCCACATTGAGTTTTGAGTTTTGTTCTGTAAAAATAGTCCATATTGAGTTTGCAAATTTATACTAAAAACAGTACAAAACTCAAAACTCAATGTGGACTAATTTTTTGGGCAGAGGAAGTAGGTATGATTATCATTCTTCAATGAAAAATAGGGACTGGACTGTAATTTTAATTTACTTTACCAGATTGCGGTTAGTTTGTTACAACTTACTAGCAGTTCTGAGGATAAATTGCGGAATTAGGAGAGTCAAAAGGAAGTTGATGAGGCATTGACTGAATTCTTCTCACACTAAACAAAATCCCTCCACTCTGTTTTCCTCTGCAAATCTTTTCATTCTCTGCAATTCATCTTCTCCGTAAGATCTTCTGCTATCGATTTCATTTAGGGAAGTGAAAGCCTCATCAGAAACATTCAGAATCATAGTAAGAAAACCCATTGATTTTTTTTTTTCAACATTTTGAACTATCAGGATTTGATTAGGCTTCAAGAAAATGGGGTACAAGGCGAAGAACAAATCCAAAGACAACTCTAAAGGAAAAGTTGGAGCGGCCTCAAAGGGATTTCATCAAGATTCATTCCGCAGTAATCCAACAGTTCGTCAGAACGGAAATCCCACCAATTATCCAGCAGGAATTCGTCAGAACAATGGTAATTGTCAAGTTATTACTCGTTACGCCCTGATCTTTGATTTATTTTTTCTTTTCTTTATTCTTTGTCTTCTTCTGATGATGTTTTTTCGGCCTGTTATAGCTTACTCATATGGGAATCTAGCTGAATTCAGTGAGGCTGAAGTTGAACGGGCATACTATCAATATCTGGGTATAACTTAATTTTCAATTAAATGTTCAATTTTTTACTTTACGGCTGTAATGAATTAGAACCATTAATAAAGAGTTAATTCTTGATTACCACAGAGAAATATGAGATGACCGAAATGGTACTCAAAGAATCATCTAATCAAGACCAGAATACTAGTCCACCTGGTGCATCTGCTGTGGAATCCCCTGATATTATGAATATAAAAGGTACTGGATCTTGTTTATTTCGACAATAATTGATGAATCTTGGTATATTATTAAAGACTTTTAAATGAAACATTGAACTTATGCATATGGGTTGTGATGAATTTTTTGAAGAGTAAAAGTTTGTTTATTGCAGAATCAAATGATCCCCACCCTGCTGCCGGTGGATCTTCTGTTCTGGAATCGTCTGATTTGAATAAAGAAGGTAATAAATTTTGTTCATTAGGATATCAAAGGGCAGAATTCTGATTTATGGGTTTTGAATCTTCCATTAATCTGAGAACTCATGAACGATTTCAATCTTTCCACAGGTATCTACACTTCTGGCAATCGAGCTGCTGACAAAGAAACAGTGAAGGAAGCTTTGATCACAGCAGATATGAAAGTGAAAGCAGAATCCAACAGGACTAAATGCGCAATCTGTGATATTGACAAACCGACTAGGGGCATGAAACATGCTGCTAAATGCGGGCACCGATTCTGTTTGGGATGTTTCAACAATTATGTTCTTGGAAAGATTCACGAAGTCTTGGATCCCAGTGTGTCATGCCCAAATAAGGAGTGCACTGAAATCTTGAGTGACGATGAAATCTTGGCTCTTCTTAATCCATGTACTAAAACGAAATGGCTTCTTGTTCAAAATTATCAGGTAACAAAGGATATCGAAGCCAAATTCACTGCCCTTTCATCCAGAGCCCAAGTATGCTTGTCGATGATTGACAATATTCCCTGATCACAATTAGATAGTACTTAGGACTTACGATGGCTAGCTAGCTAACTAGCTTCTGGAAAAAGGTTACTGAGAACCTGGAAACATTAATGGCTTTTGTGTTTGTTTTGAGTTGGATAGCTTCTTTGCAAAGGTTGAATTTTTGAGGAAATTGCAGTTCAAAGGCAAGCTTTAAAGATTTGGTATGGATTTAGAGCCACAGTTTCTTTTACTGAAATTCTAAAGTTTCCGTTCATGTGTAATGATACAATTTTTAGTTCATTTCATCCCTTGTTTCATTGTAATGAAGCTCTTTGATGTGTTTCTCAAAACTTTCTTAAGGATGATGATGTTGTTGTAAATATAAGTGGATGCTGTTCTTGTGCTAATCTCAGAAGTCTGCTTCTTCATTCATCATTTATCTTCAATTTTCTCTTCTTTTTTACTGTCAATTGAATTCCCGCAACTGATTTTTCTCTTTGAACTCCGTATTTCTAAGTTATTCCCTCACTGGAATATCTCAATGTTCTCCTTTAACATTTGTAAGGTTCTTTTTTAGTTACACAGCAGTAAAAGTGCTATAAGTTAAATTTGTAAATATGTAATTGCTGGATTGGCATTCCCCAGGATAAATATAGCCTGTTAAAGGTTAAAAAGTGAACACAATGCGGAAAAAACTTGAGTATATAAACTTGAGCATTCTATTAACAGTTGAGTACACCTCCGGTTTCGCTGACTCTCAAAAGAAATGTGCACTCCTTACCATTTAACTACTAGTACTGCCTCCCGAACCCAAAGGAACCAATCCATCCAGTTTGAATCCAAATTAGTCGGAATAATGTTTTCGAACACAGAGTTAGAATGCATAATAAAACTACTTGTACTGGTCGTGTAGAATTCATAAACTTCTTCAGTTTTCCACTAGTTCGTATTTCCATCTTAATTTTCGTTTCCATCTACTCCATATGAGTTTTTTTGTTTTTACGAAATTAAATAAACTTCTACAACAGCTAACTTTTGCTAAAGTAACTGGTAAGGTTAACAAGTACATATCTCACATTGGAATTTGGAGGTGAAATTAGAAATGTTATCTTACAAAAAGATATTAATCTAATATTTCAATATAGTCATCAATTTTCAGTGAAAAGAAATAATTACCTGATTTAATTACCTGATTTGGTTACGGAGTTTGTTACAAACGGTTTTGAAGATAATAATTCCGGAATTAGGAGAGTCAAAAGGAAGTGATGAGTCATTGACTGAAATTCATTCTGATCTTTCTCTTCGCTGAACAAAATCCCTTCACTCTGTTTTTCTCTGCAAATCTTGCCATTCTCCGCAATTCATCTTCTTCGTAAGTTCTTTTGTGAAAATGGCAACGAAATGTGAGCTTTGATATTGAGTTATGCTAATTTAATCCTTGATGAACTAATAAACTAAGACGTTGGGAATGGCTAGCGCTGGAGGTAGTGTGTTTTGAATATCGGGTGCGTGTTACACCATTATGAGCGCTGAATTACGGGGATTTTTTTAGGCTAAGTGAAGAAAACTACTGTATCATCAAGTTACAAATCAAAAACAGTGAGAGTATGGAATTACATGAATGAGTTAATTGTACTCCATTGATCGTTTGGATTGACGACAAATATTAACACCAGTCCTAGATATTTCCCACTAACAAAATAGTCAATTTAATTTGGTAATAATTTTTTAGTGAAATGCTGTTCATAATTTGTCAGAGAAATCACATTACGTTCTAATTAAATATTTTTTTTTCGTAACTCACTCATATGGTTGGATCTTTGTCTATGACTTTGTCGATTTTTCCATCAACTGGGTAATTAATAATTTTATTTTCTAGACAATAACTCTCTTCATTGTACCAAAAATTTAAAACTTTCATATGCGGATATTCTATTCTCACCGTTCATCTTCATTCACACTTTACTAAACAAAAATTATCCACAATGAGTTTAACGATTTGTTTTTTTTCTGAACCAAATAATTAAAGATCTCGTTGAAGGAAACAAGATTTTGTCATGACTTTATGTTTACTGTATAAGAGAAACTTCATACAAAAATTCTAAGGAACGTTGACCAGAACCATGTGTTAATGTTATCTCTATAAGATGGGAGCTTCTACATAATGCGTTATATCTAATTGAATCGAGACGATCAATGCTACTATATATTATTGTTTCTGTTCCATGTTCGCGTGCTCTCACCTCAATCACATTGCCTCGCCAACCCAAGACAGATTCTAAAGACGGTAGAAGAAAGCTCACAACTTAGATTCCCGCTGCAAGCTTCATCATCTTCCCTCTTATGGGAGCGTTGTTTGTAGGTCCCTCCGCTCTGTCCAAGCAAAATATTTAGCGAGGAATTGTAGAAAGCTTGAAATGATGAACGGAGTAATCGAACCCGGATCCAGCAGTCTTCAGTGTTCAATTCATTGACCATCTCAGCTCGAGCTGCTGATCTGATCATGGCTTGTTTGTTGAATGAGGGCAATTCTACTTCCTTCAAGGGGCTTCAAAGTTTCCAGGAGCCACTCTTTAGCTTCCGATAGCAATGCTAAGTATTAGTAGGGATATGATGATTTTACGAGAAATTCAAAGTCCGGAAACATTAATCTTAGTGATGGTTAAGTATAAAGCAATTCAAGGTCGGGGAGAGATGGGACGGACCCGGAGAAGTTGTGGAGAAGGGAACCCTAAGGCCTAAAAATATCAGTAAATCACTAGAATTGTTCAACAGAGAAAATGATATCAAAGGGAATGATCCCAATCAACCACATAAAACCGTGCATTATATGGTGTGTGGTAAATGGAACCGGTGGTGGAACAAGAAGTAAAGAATCCAGAGTTAATGTTTGCTGACCGAGGAGTAATAACTATGATACGGTTTGGGCCTTTGGGGTAGTTGCTTGGTGATGGTTGGAGTCTTAATTAACCATCCACTGGAAGCTACTAGTATAAGCTCTGTCCTATATATATAGTCTACCCATCTCTTAGAATAATGGTAGGGATTCAACAAAACAAATGATGGTAGGGAAATAAGTGAACATGATAGGAAAAACAGAAAATGATATATACAGACTCTCCAGCACGAAAAAGGCACGTTGAACCATCAACTAATTACACTTATGATTTTGCTTCGTGGTGTGATTTGTTTGATATAGAAATCAAGCTCATTAATATGAAAAGTTGTGAAAATCAAAATGTGTTTTACAAAGATATCATAGTAGCGAATGCATTCCTTCCTTTGCTACTCTTTACTAGTAACTATACCTGTTAAACCTAATATGCGGGTGATTTCTTTGGTACTCTCTCTCTCTCTCTCTCTCTCTCTCTCTCTCTCTCTCTCTCTCTCTCTCTCTCTCTCTCTCTCTCTCTCTCTCTCTCTCTCTTTTTCTCCTCGTTTGGTCAATGCTAGAAGGCGTGCAAAACTATCTTTTCTTGGATTCTATTATATCTATCTTTTCTTTTGGTGTGTCTTGAATTTGTACGTTCATTCAATCTTACAGAGTGTTAGATTAAATTCAATCTTTGATTTTTCTTTTGTGGTAAAACTAATGGGCTATAACTATAATCATCAAACATGTTAACAAGATATGCTTAATGGAAATTCTCTAGGTCTTGTTGCCTTCTGCCTTGGACTACATTAATTCAAGGGTATGCGGAGAATAGGAATTCAAATATAATTGATTCTTGTGAAGATGATGACGGTGGTACAAATTTTAGACGTGGACTTGTGACAGCAGCCAGAGATGATGTTTCTTAAATCTCCGGGAACCTATATTCTCACGGGTGTTTCATATGGGTCGCCTCAAACAGACCAAGAATCAAACCCCTCCGATGTGGCGCTTAGCGGTTCAAGCAGTTTTCAATCACATGGATTCAGCACCAGACCTTCCATGTCTTCCCGTGGTTCCGTTTTAGAGGCCTTCGACTGCACTGATACTGATTGTTCCTGGTAAAGCAAACGTGAATGATTTTCTCGAGAAGCTTTGCATCTCCTACGTATTTGTCAGGTTGGAGATAAATATAATCTTGCACTATCTTTTTTTTAAGAGTAATGATACAGATAGTGAAAAATTGAAGTGAATTTGGATAGTGACAAATGAAAAAACATATACATCACACACTTAGGGCCTGTTTGATAAAACTTAATTTGGGTCTGAAGTCTGAAATCTGAAGACTAAATCATAAGTATTGAACTGATTAAATTTGTCGTGTTTGATAAAAATCAAAATCTAAACACTGAATTAAAAGTCTGAAATCTGAAGTATGAACACTGAAATTTAAAGTATCTCGAGTTATAATTTTATCTAAAAAATAATTGATGTATATGAAATTATGATAATAAAAATAATAATATTATTATTAAATAATGTAATAAAAATATTTAAATTTCGTTATATTATTATTTTTTCAGTTAATAATAACGTCATATTTTATCATTGTCAAAAAAATTTATATTTTATGATAAATATATATTGATCATGGAATTTAATGGATTTTAATTTTTATATAAAAATAAATATTTATTATATAAAAAATAATTTACATAAATTTTAATTTAGAACTAGACATCATGATTAATAAAAATATTTTAAAATATCAAAAGTATAAACATAAAAATAAATAAATAGAAAAAAATCGTCTCAAGAATTCAATTCAGACATAAGTGATAGGCCTATCACTTTTAGGCTCACATTTGTACTAGCATTTCAGACCCAATTAATTTATTAAGACATCCTACTTTAAGTTATCAAACGCACTTAAAATTTTAAGTCCTTAATAAATTAAGTTCTTAATCAAACAAGTTGTTATGATATTGTGTTATCAAACAGTGCTAATCAATTAAGTACATAATTAAGAAGTTTAAGTGCTTAATTGATTTATCAAACAGGGCCTTACTAAACATGTCTACTTATTAATTAGGGGTAAAAATATAATTTTGAGGAAAAAATAAAACTTTAACGAAAAAGTGGCAAAAATACTAGGGGCCATGATTAATCCACATCAATTACTATATTTTGTCACTATTTTTATTCACTATATATATCATTTTCCTTTTTTGAAAAGGTAATCTTGTACTATAATAAGATATCAATATGCTTGGAAACATTACATTTGGCGTTAGTCCTTCGTTACGCCATTGACTGAATTCTTCTGATCTTTCTCTTCACTAAACAAAATCCCTCCACTCTGTTTTCCTCTGCAAATCTTTTCATTCTCTACAATTCTTCTCTTCTTCGTTAGATCTTCTGCTACCGATTTCATTTAGGGAAGTGAAAGCCCTTATCAGAACCATTCAGAATCATAGGAAGAAACCCATTGATTTTTTTCTTTCAACATTTTTAACTATTGCGATTTGTGTAGGCTTCAAGAAAATGGGGTACAAGGCGAAGAGGAAATCCAAAGACAAGGCTACCAGAAAGGTGAACACAGTGCGGAAAAAGAAAGGATCGAGAAAACTTGAGCATTCTATTACAGTTTACACCTCTGGTTTTGCCGACTCTCAAAAGAAATGTGCACTCCTTACCATTTAACTACTAGTACTGCCTCCCGAACCCAAGGGAACCAATCCATCCGGTTTGAATCTAAATTAGTCGGAAAAATGTCTTCGACCATAGAGTTAGAGTGTATAATAAAACTACTTGTACTGCTCGTATAGAATTCATAAATTTCTTCAGTTTTCCACTGGTTCGTATTTCCATCTTAAATTTTTTTTCCCTCTAACTCATATGAGTTTTTTTTTTTTTTTTACGAAATTAAATAAACTACTACAACAGCTAAATTTTGCTAAAGTAACTGGTAAGGTTGACAAATACATATGTCACATTGGAGGTGATATGTTATCTTACAAAAGATATATTAATCTAATCTAAGATATCAATATTACGTTTGGCATTAATTCACAACACAAAAATTAACATGCCTAGTCATCAATTTTCAATGAAAAGCAGGGACTGGTCGATAATTGTAATTTAATTACCAGATTTGGTTAGTTTGTCACAAGCAGTTTTTGAGGATAATAATTCCGGAATTAGGAGAGTCAAAAGGAAGTGATGAGTCCTTGACTGAAATTCATTCTGATCTTTCTCTTCGCTGAATAAAATCCCTTCACTCTGTTTTTCTCTGCAAATCTTGCCATTCTCCGCAATTCATCTCTTCCGTAAGGTCTTCTGTTGCTGATTTGATTAAGGAAAGTGAAAGCCATATCAAAGACATTCAGGATCTTAGGAAGAAAACCCCATTGATCCTTTTACATTCTGAATTACCGGAATTTGTTTAGGCTTCAAGAAAAATGGGATACAAGGCGAAGAACAAATCCAAGGACAAGGCTAAAGCGGCCTCAAAGGGATCTCATCAAGATTCATCCCGCAGTAATCCCACTGTTCGTCAGGACAGAAATCCCACCAATATCCCTGTACAAATTCATGAGGACGATGGTAATTGTGTCTGAGTCTTGATCTTTGATTCTGTTTCTTTATTTTTTTTTTCTTTTAACGTCTTTTTTTTTTTCTTGGGGTTTTAGCTGATTCATATGGGGATTTAGAAGAATACGACACTAAAGTTCAAATGGCAAACTTCAACGCATTTATGGGTATACCATAATTTTCTATTGAATGTTGGATTTTGATTTCACGGCTTGAATGACTTAGAACCTTTAAACTTTCAATTCTTAATTGCCACAGATAAATATGGGTATGGGCTGAAATCATCTAAACCTGGTGCATCCGCTGTGGAATCTCCAGATTTGAATAGGAAAGGTATTGTTTTTGTTCATCATGATTGCAACGAATGAATTTTTGTGTGTTACTATACAATGAAAGTTTTAATTTATGCACATGGGTTGTGATGAATTTGATCAATAAAAGTCTCAAGTATCGATTATCTCAGAATCGGATGATTCCCAGCCTGCTTCTTCTTTACCTGGTGTTCCGGAATCCCCTGACTCGAACAAAAAGGGTACTACTATGTTTGTTTGTTGTTTTTCCAATGGATGAATTTTGGAGCATTATTCCTAGGATTTTCAATTGAATATTAACTTTCTGCTTTATGGGTGTGAATTAGAACACTAAAAGTTTTGAATTATGATCACAACAGAATCAAATGATGGCAACCCAGTTGCTTCTCAAACTTCTGTTCTGGAACTTCCCAATTCACATCAGAAAGGTAATGATGTTCTTCATTAGGGTAGAAAGGACTAAATTCTGATTTATGGTTAGGAACTTCTATGTATTATTAATATTAATCTTAGAACTAATGAAGGATTTCAATCTTCCACAGGTATCAGCACTTCTGCTACTCAACCTAGTGCCTCTCCTGCTGCACAATCCCCTGACCTGATTAAAAAAGGTACTGATTCTGTTCATCACGATTGCAACAGATGAATTTTGGTGTTCGAATAATTTTTCAATTGTCTATGGAGCTTATGTTTATGGGTTTTGATGAAATTGAACAATTAAATTTTGAAATTGTAATTAAAGCAGAATCAAATGATCCCAGCCCTGCTGCTTCTCAACCAGGTGGATCTTCTGTTCTGGAATCCCCGGATTTGAATAAAGATGGTACTGGTTTTGTTCAATACGGAATCTAGGAAGAATTCTGATTTATGATTTTTAATCTTCGATTGATCTGAGACATAAGGAATTATTTCAATATTCCCACAGGTAGCTACACATCTGGCAATGGAGCTGAAGAGAAAAAAATGGAGAAGGAAACTTTGATCTCAATGGAAAAGAAAGGGGTAGTTGAACCAAATGGGACTAAATGCGCAATCTGTGATATTGACAAACCGACTAGGTACATGAAACAGGCTGCTAAATGCGGACACCAATTCTGTTTGGGATGTTTCAACAATTATGTTCTTGGAAAGATTCAGGAAGTCTTGGATCCCAGTGTGTCATGCCCAAATAAGGAGTGCACTGAAATCTTGAGTGACGATGAAATCTTGGCTCTTCTTAATCCATGTACTAAAACGAAATGGCTTCTTGTTCAAAATTATCAGGGAACAAAGGAGATCGAAGCCAAAGTCACTGCCCTTTCATCCAGTGCTCGAAAATGCTTGTCGATGATTGACAATATTCCTTGATCAGAATGAGAAGGAAAACTTAGGATGTCTCTCGGTAACTAGCTTCTGGAAAAGGGTTCAATGATGTTTGTGCTTGGTTTTGAGTTGGATGGCTTCCTTGCAAAGGTTAAATTTTGAGGAAATTACAGTTCAAAGGACAGCTTTTAACATCTGGGTTGGATTTTAGAGCCACAGTTTCTTTTACTGAACTTCTTAGTTTTCAGATCATTCATGACGATATGATTGAGATTGTTAGTTCAATTCAATGAGATTCTTTGATGTGTTTCTCAAAATATTCTGAAGGATGTTGTTGTAAAGATAAGTGGATGATGTTCTTGTGCTATTCTCAGAATTTTGCCCATTTTTTCACCTTTTTTTTTTTTAAGTTTTCTGTTCTTTTTTACTGTCAATAATGAATCCCTGAACTGATTTTTCTCTTTGAAGTATTATTCTGCATACTATGTTGACATTCTAATACTGTATTTCTAAGTTATGGCCCCGAACTGGAATAACTTACAAAAAACTTTATAATTTTTTTTGCTCTAAAATCCCCCAAAAGAAATACTCCTACATTTTAATTACAAAGTAAATGTGAACCACATAACATTAACTTCTAGTTGCAAAAAATGCAGTAATGAAATGGTTCTACATATTTTGTTATAGATATTTTAATGAGAAAAAAATATAGAATTTTTAAATATGTTATTTTACACTTGGATTCTTGATTTTATTTTGGGCCCCCCGTCTCTAAGGTTCTAACTCCGCCAATGTCAGCTGAGAACTTTTGCCAATATTCAGTGGATTAAAAAAACTAAAAATTAATTGAAGCCCATTGCAAATACTCCCTTTTGTTTTGTTCTTATTATAATTAAGTCATTTTGATTTGTCCTAAATTTCATCTAGTATATTTTTCTAATTAAAAAAACAAAATTTTAAAAATATCTTCAAATAATTCGGAGAACACAATGAATGTGAAAAATATATTTTTAATTTTTCAATCGAAAAATATAATAGAAAAATTTACGACAAATAAAAATGCCTTATAATAAGGACGAGAGAGGCGGAGCTGGGGGGGGCGGAGGGGTGCGGCCGCACCAGCTCAATTTTTTAATTAGTAGAGATATCATAAATTTTTAATAGAAAATTATGTATTTATAATTTTCCGCACCCCCTACATGAATTTTGTAGCTCATTACTAATTTATTTCTAAATTTTGCACCCCCTATATTGATTTTTTGGCTCCGCCTATGAGAGTATCAATTTGGGTAAAGCGTCTAGCTCGTTTATAATAGGGTTACAAAAGATAAGTGGATATTCGTTATAGTGCATCTGCATTCTGGTAATTCTTTGATGTTTAGAAAATTTTAAGTTTTTTCAAACTTGGGATTGATCCGTTGAAGTAGTAAACAGCATCATGGAGATTAAAAACTCAAACGAACGAACTTCCACTTTGACATATTTTAAGCAAGCCACTAAAAACCTACAATAGTAAAATCTGATTTGCCTAACGAAAGAAGTAAATATCTTTCCCCTATTCCATAAAGAATGAGAGGTGCCTCTTTTCCCTTGGACATGAACCCGTCGAACAAAGCTCATCTCGCGTACTCTTTTCCGCTTCCATGTTAATCTTGTGTAGGACATGACATGACACTTCCCTTGTGAACTAACATAAGGTTGGATTTGTCCAAATTAAAGACACTGGATAGTCTCGTTCAGCTGGGACTGGAAGTTTAAGTGAAGTAAACGACCCATCATTCATCTGGAAAACTCTAATTTCGTGGCCTAGATAGTAAATGCAACCTCGAAGACCGTGTGCAACGCCAGCTATTTCTTCAACATTCTCAACTGGGTTCCGTGTTTCCCTCTTGACGAGTTTAAAAACTCTAAAACTCCGCCATTGACCACCATGTAGCTCTTCTAACAACGGATTCAAAACTACGGATCGGAACAATTTGCAAACCCTTCCAAACCTAACGTAATCAGAAAATTCGGACAATTTACTCAGAATTGTAGTCCAAAGTTCCTCGGGAAGATCACTCCAATTTACTAAGGATTTGAGACGTGGTCGCCGTCGGATCGAAACAGATTCGTCCATGATTGAAGCACCGGCCACCAGAGATTAAACTTGGCCGGAACGGAACTGATGGAGACTAAACACCGTTTGATATAAAACCCCTGAAGCCCAAATCTTTTAGGTTCAAAAAAAAAAAAAAAAACCCACGAAACTTCTCTCTTTATTTAGTGATTCATGACAATATCGAAGGAGACAATAGTTATCTCTTTTAAAATAAATAGTACCATAATATTCTCCTAATACAATTGTACTCTCAATGATATTATGTTTTAATACAATTCATACAACTACAATTTCCAATGTTAATGGTCGTATTAAAAAAAAATTAACGAAACATAATTCGATTTATATATGAGAATGGTATCTATTTTTTAAAAAATTAATTTTTCCTTCAATGACATCTATTCAACGATAGAGGGAGTAATCTATTTGTTTGGCTATTTTAGATCGTTTTGTGAGGCTACACGGATAAAAAAAATTTCTATGTTAATTTTGTGTGACACTATTTACAACACTAGTTAAAATGCTTGTTATATATTCATATAAAAGAGTCTGTATCCAGTATATCGGGAGGCACCATGCTCCCCCTCTTATTTTTTGCATTTATAGTCCGTATTGTACTTTTTCTCAATATTTTTATATTTTGCAAGTTTAATCCCAATCATTGTTTTCTCTCTCTTCTTAAAAAAATCTCTAATCTTTAAACGATCATATCTCTCAATCCGTGAAGAATTTGTGAACGAATTACATATGAAATTTATAGTATTCGTCGAGATTTATCCAACAAGATCCATATTAAATATTTTTTTCGAACTTAAAAATGATTAAATTCTGATGGGCAGAAATAAGGTGGATATCCAGTTTAAGAATATAGATAAATAACTTATTTTTAAATTGGTTATCCATTGTATTCATTCTGATTATTCAACCAGTTTAAACTGGTTATCCATTTTGTTTGTACTGCTTATCCATTTGATTTGTATGCCTATTCAACTTGTTTTATAGTTGTAATCCAACGGGTTAGTATGTATATCCAACTTGTTTGTACAGGATATTCAACTTGTTTGTACTGGATATCCATCCATTTGGTTTGTATGCCTATCCTACTTTTGTGTACTGGTTATCTAACGAATTTATATGCTTATCCAAATTGTTTGTACTGGTTATCCAATTATTATTATTTTATTTTTTTTTAGAAAAAATCATTGTCCAATACGCTAATATTGGTTATCTATTTTGTTTATGCCGCTTATCCAATCATTTTTTTTCTTTGAAACACGGTTATCCAATGTATTCGTAGTGATTATCCAATCGCTTTGTATTGGTTGTCTAATTATTTTTACTGCTTGTCCAAATAAGTTTGTATTATTTATCCAATCATTTTTTTTGTTATTTTGAGAAAAATGGTTGTCCAATGTGTTCGTGCTGATTATCCAATCTCGTACTATTGTTTCTCCAGCTATTTCTTTTTTTATTTTTATGAAAATACTTGTCCGATTTGTTTGTACTTGTTAGCCCACTAATTGTACTGCTTATCCAACCTAGTTTTTTTTTTTAAATGGTTATCCATTGTGTTCATACTGATTATCCGATCGGTTTGAACTGATTATCCATTTCGTATGTACTAGTTATCCAATCTTTTTTTTATAAAATAATTGTCTGATGCGTTAATACTGATTATCCAACTAACTACTATTGCTTATCCAACCTAGTTATGGTTGTCTAACGCGTTCATATTGATTATCCAATTGTTTAGTATAGATTATCCAATCATTTTTTTCTCTACTTTTTTGTGAAATTCCTTGTCCATTTTTTGTACTGACTATCCAACCGTCTTGTATTTGTTATCCAATCATTTCCACTGATTATCCAAACAGAATTTCTTTTCTTTTTTTTTTCTTTTAAGAAAATATATGTCCAAAGTGTTCATACTGATTATCCGACTTCTTGGTGATGGTTATCCAACTTGTTTTTCCTTGCTTTTTTATGAAAATGATTGTCCAATTTTTTATGTACTGATTATCCAACCAGTTTGTACTGCGTATTCAATTATTTTCAATGATTATCCAGATTGTTTGTAATGCTTATCCAAATATTTTATTCTTTTTTTCTTTCTTTTTTTAAAGAGGAGAGAATGTCAAAAATATGATTGGATAACCAGTACAAACAAAATGTATAATCAGTCCAAACCGATTGAATAATTAGTCTGACCACAACGGATAACCATTTTTTAGAAAAAAAAAATAAATTTCGTGAAATCTGCCTGAAATCTGCCCGTAAAATTTAAATGTAATTAAAGTTCAAAGAAAAATTCAATATTGATCTTATCGAATAGATCTCATCGAGCACTATAAATTTTATATGTAATTCGTTTTCTAATTATTTATGGTTTGAGAGATATAAATTTTTCAAGAAAAATTAATAAAAAATAATCACTTATCCATCTTTTTAAACTGGATATCCATCTTAATTCTGCTCATCGAAATTTGATCATTTTTAAGCTCGAGAAAAATATTCGATTTGGATCTTTTTGGCTAAATATCGATGAGTACTATAAACTTCAGATATAATTCGTTCACAAATTCTTTACGGATTGAAAAATATACTCTAAAGATTAGAGTTTTTTTTTTGGAAGAGAGAGAAAAAAAGTAATAGGGACTAAATTTGCAAAATATAGGAAGAGTTGAGAAAAAGTACAATAAGGACTAGTACTGCAAAAAGTAGAAGGGGGTGTACATACTCCCGAGTATACCCAATAAATTGCCATATAAAATGTTAATGAACAATTTTGGGTTACTTATTAAGTAGGTGTAAAATATGTAAAATATTTAAGTAGTACCAACGGCAATTTAAGACAAAAGGTGTAACCCAATATCTTTTGCTAGTATTCCGTTATTGACAAATATTTAATTGAACCCAATTGCATATGATTAATTTGGTTTTTTTGGTAGGGGTGTGGAGGGATTGGTCAAACCGATCAAACTGGATAATCCGGACCGGAATTTAATTTTTGGATCGATTTCAAAGCTCTATTGGTTTTAAGATATAGAAATCGGAAGGTCAAAATCCTTTGGCAAAACCGGACCGGACCATTTATGGTAGTTATTATATATATATATATATATATATATATATATATATATATATAATAGAATTCTTATATATGTAGAAATAATAGTTACAAGTTGTGACATAGTAGATCTCGTTAATTCAATATCATGTTTAGTCACAACTTCCAGTTTCGATTCCCTTAAACCTCTCTTCTTGAGTTGTTTTTCTATCTTTCTTATATTTTTATTTTGGATTTCAAATTCTCTCCTCCTGCGCTTTTTTCCCTTTTTCAGGTTTTTTTTTTTTGCCTCTCAAAAGCTTTTCCATCATTTGTTTAAGAAATTTCTTTTTTGACTTACAAAAGTTAAAGCGTAACTATTAAAATTCATATTTCTTAAACTATAAAACCAAAAATCTACCTAGTAAGAACCCTAAGAGATTAAGTTGTGGACCTTTATTTTTTTCATATGTAGAATTGAAATTAGTAGAAAAAGTCTTTGTTTTGGACCATATTTTGGCCTAATTTTTTTTTAAAAAAAGCCAAAATGAGAACAAAACCGTGAAACTGTATAAACCAAACTGTTGATTACGAATTCGTTTGGTTCGGTTTCTAAATGTGGACCGGTTTTGTTTTGGATTCAAAATTTTCCAAACCATTCTAACGGTTTGGTTTATTGTTTAGCCTAAAAATCGGACCACCCGGACCGTGCACACCTCTATTTTTTGGAAAGATACTTGTATATTAGTTTAGAAGAAGTATCTAAACTATTGCAATACATTCAATGGAATGCTAAATATTGTGTTCTATAACGTCGAGTCTACTCACTTTGATCACTGAGCAAGATTGAAATCAGAAAACATTAGCAATTAACAAAGAAACCACCTTCTCAGCTTCAAAAGATATTGAATAGACCGTAAATCTGTTTTCAAAATTTCACTGTCCATTACACCTAGAATCGAGTGATCTCTAAATATAATGCCTCGTTCAAAGCCAAAATACAAGTCATTTGGTTTGAATGCACCGATCTGTAGATTAGCTCACCTATTTGTCTGTTAAGTTTAGGCAATCATGAGATTTAATTTATTGAGATTTGTAATAATCTGAAACTTGAAGCAACAAGGCGCTCATATGGAATCCATTTCCCCCACCACACCACCACCACCCCGAACCCCTCCCCCCAACCCGCCCCAAATCTTTTTTTTTTTTTTTTCCTTTTTGTAGTCGTTCAAACTGCTTATTGTGCATTGTAAACTGTATTTTCGCGTTGGGATTTCTCTAATGTAGTCAAATGTTTTGGTACTGTTGGGATTTCTCTAATGTAGTCAAATGTTTTAGTACTGTATTTCCATTTCAAAGGAAATCAATAGAAATTTTGATTCAAGTTTACGAAGAATGTATAATCCAATCCTCCGTCTTCATTATTCTTTATAAATATGAAAATTTAGAACAAAGGACGCTGATGTGCTAAGAAAATTATTATATGTCAAAATTATGAGACAAAGTTTTCCAACGTCAAAATTCTACGTCCCAACACCATTCTTCACTGTGACATGTGTCCCCCTAGACAAGTTTAAGGATTTTGATTCAAAACTTAATTTTATACTGTCATAACGATCTTACAATAATTGTGGGAACAAATTGAACTTCCAGAGCAATCCGATCATCAATAGTAACTATCCGATCACTATGATCTGCACCATCCAATTGCTTGATCCGTGATTTTGTACTTCACGCAAATGGGATGAAGTCAAAAGGTTGTTGCCTGATATGACCCGTTTTGGTATTGCTCCGGATGTAGTCACTTACAACATTTTGGCAGACTCATATAATGTTATCTTGAAAGGAATGTTTCAATTAGGGGAGTGCAGTGCTGCCAAAGAACTTGTTAGTAAGATTCAAATGGGTTCCTTGAAACCTAATTTTTACGCATACTGTGTAATGCTATATGGATTTTGCAAGAACGGAAACATTAACGAGCATTACTACTTTTGGACAAGATGGAAGTGGATGGTGTAGAGCTACATATTACCATGTATACTATCATCATTGATGGATTTTGTAGAATTGGCAGACTTGATAGAGCTTTTGGGATGTTTTTCATTGCTTATCTTCTAAAGGATTGGATCCAGATGTTGTGACATATACTAGGATGATAACTGCGCTATGCAAAGAAGGCTTGCTAGAGGAAGCTAATGAAGTTTTTATTCAAATGGAAGCAAATGGTTGTCTGGCTAATGAGATTACTTACAATGCAATCATCCGAGTACTGATTAAGGGTGATAAGTATGATGATGCTGCAGTTTATCTTCAAGAAATGCGAAGTAAAGGATTTGTTTTGAATTTATCTAACTCATCAGATGTGCTAAATATAATCTCCAGGAAAAAAAAGTGTAGCTCTTCATAATGTTCTTCTGAAGTTTGATGCCAATGACAGAAGGTGAAAATTATGGATGTATAGTAAAAAGTCCAACAATGTGTTGTTTATCAAAGGGGCAGGTGTCCTAGAAAAAGCAGAAAAGAGTCTTGAGGGGACTTTTAGCCACAAGCTAGCCACTCCATTTCATAGTTCTGGTCTCAGATTAGCATTGCTTCTCTGACTTCTAAATTTGTTGAATGCTCTGATTGATTTTATCATCTTCAGTTTCATGTCTTTGCCCACCCTAGTTTCAAGGTGTAATTTATTTCCGATCCTTCTTTAATTTTTTCCGTGGGGCTTATGTTCATAAACTGTTTTCTAGGGGCCGACTCTCAAGACCTCTATTTAGTTCTGCTCATGTATCTACAAACTCTGTGTTTCAGTGTTGCTCTTCCTGATGTGCTTCTAAAGTTTTATCCCCTTTAGCGGGCCATGAAAATCATCAATGCCTGGTAATTTGCCATGAGTCCATGAATGAACAAAGGGGCTGCTTCCAACCGTGAATTTCTTTTGGTGTAAGAGCTGACATGTTTACAGGTGATTGCTACGATTTGTTGTGGCTGTTGGGATCGGACTGGATGTGAGAAGGCTGCATCACCAGTGTGTGCGGCAGAGTGCCTCTCTTAGCCAAGCATGTAAAAGAAGAATGATCTATTTTGTATTCTTATGCAAGGCTACAAGTTGCCACATTTGTAACTATTTGCTCTATCGGGTCAATGATTTGGTGCAACAGAAGAAGAATGATATAGTTTGTTCATCATTTTCTGCTGTTCGGGGATGTCCCTGGACTCTGTTGCGGTCTTCCGTCCTTCTGTATTGCCTTGTTGAAGCAATCAAGAGTTGAGTGCGACATCTATAAGAGGAACTTGAGAATGAACTTATAAAAGGGCTTCTAGTGGAAGACTACGAATTGCCAGTTTTTAACTATGGACTTCTACATTGTACATGCTTTACCTTCTTAGAAGTTAGATGATCATCGGACCAAAAAATTATACTCAGAAAGCAAAGTATGATTCTTTTTCAGCTAAATTTTGAGCAAAGCATGAGGCTAAAATTGAAAGACTGTGAATTTGACTGTCATTTAACAATATTAAAACTAAGTAAAGTAGTTCGTTCACCAGTTCTTTTGGCACCATGACAATCCTCGTCTGTGATATAGTGTACTTGCTAATAGTGCTGATGGCCGCTTGCCGGCACATAAACGAGCTTTCCTTTTTGTTGATATCTGAAGTTAATGAGGAATTGCTGCTGTACACCTCCATTCATGTTTGCTTCGCAGTTATGATGTTCTCATGTCTTAAAGAAATAGTTAGTAGATGCCCTGGAGAAAGCAGAAAAGAATTTGAGGGGGACTTTCGGCCTCAAGCCAACCCTCATTCTCTAAGGTACATGGAGAACTATAAAACAGTAAAACAAATTGGACTATTTAGGTACACGGAGAAATTACACAAATTAAATGGTCCTTTAATGTACTAATTTGTTGCCCATACGCATCCAAAACCTTTTGAAAGTAAATTCAGTTCCGCTTGTAAAAAGATCAGCTGAAAACACAGTTGTTGCATGATGATTTCAGCCATGTATATGTAACAGTTTACGATGGCCTTGCAAGTCACACAAACCTGGTGAATTATAAACCACATCCGGGTTGGTCACTTCTTGCATAATCGGCTCATCATAAATAGGTAAGGAGGATCATTCTTCCAAAACAAGAATTTGACTCAGAAAATGGCATCATTCTCAATGTTCAAATTTACCCTTCTTCTAAGCCTTCTTGTTGTGTTTGTCAAAGGGGATCCTGATATCACAGATGATTTCCTGATCCCTTCAAACGTTAATCCAAACTCCATTGATGGAAACTTCTTCACCTTTACGGGCCTGCGTAAAATCGTCGGTTCAAATGTTCCCGATTTCAGGGCAACTAAAGTAACTAAGACAGAATTCCCTGCACTGGATGGGCAGGGTGTTTCTCTTTCCATCCTTCAGTTTCCTCCTGGAAGCATCAATCCACCACATAGTCATCCTCGATCGTGGGAGGCGCTTTTCGTGTTGAGTGGCAGCGTCGAATTAGGATTTATCGATCCATCAACGGGCAAACTCAATAATAAGACCATGCCCACTAATTACTTCTATGTGGTTCCTCAGGGAACTATGCATTACCAGCAGAATGCCAATAAGTCAGCAGCAGCTTCTGTGTTATCCGCGTTTGGAAGTTCAAATCCAGGGACGATTTCTCTTCCGACAGCCCTATTTGGAACAGGGGTTGATGATAAAATCCTGTCAAGATCATTTGCTACTGATGTGGATACCATCAAAAAAATTAAGGCTGCTTTTGGAGGAACCAAATTTTAGATTTATCCAAATATATTACTTAGTAATATGTACAAGTATCCTCTGTACCACATGTTCCAAATGTAATAAATTCTGGTATCATTGAAGGATTTGTCAGCAATGTATACTATGAGATTTTCAATGATACAAATTCTTGAAATTCATTGTTACTGTACCAAATGGCGGGGGCGGGCGCGGGCTTTCAATTTGTTGGTTCAAACCGAGCTTACTGCAAATTTGCAATTAACATAAACTTCATTTGTAATCATGAAACTGTGAAAAAAAAATAAAAATACTACTAATAATCAGGACATAGAATGGAGAAATGATGGGTATAGTTGAATTTGAATATCCTGTTAGGTGTTACACATTTGTCAAGCGGCACAATGCTTTAACTGATGAGGACAAGAAGAAGATATCGATTTGTTTGATAACCAAAATGACACCATCTCCAGATTGAGGAGATCGTTTACTTGGACAGAACATTGGCAAAAACAGTGTCACTCTACCATTCATTGGCAGAGACTTATGTACACATTTTCAGTAAAACCAGGTTATAGTACGTACAGAACACTGAATTTGCATAAAATCTTTTCACTTAGAGATTTACAACTTTAAAAACTGTAGGTCATATATATGTTTGAATAGTTTGCTCCAGCACACATAGGTACTTGACAAGACTTTCATTCTTCAAATTTTTCTTTTAAGATTTATTTATATCAATCTCGATTGATGGATAGAGAATCAATCTAAAAAACTTTATTACGTGTGACAGAATCTCATTACGAAAACTCGTAGGCGGATGGATGTCTTCGCTCATTTGTAGTTTCAGATAGTGTGATCCCCTTCACAATATTTTTGACCAAAGTGCCAAAAACGTGAATATTTCCTATGCCTTCATTCGAAAACAAAACACAATCAGTAATTCTGTTTGCTCATCTTTCACAGTCTATTCAGATCAGTTGCAAATCACACAAACTCAGTGACCATCAACCCGCCCCGCGGCACCGGTAACTTATCATATGCTGTTATAAATAGCTTCCACTAGTAATATCTCCCTGCAACGGAAGTAACTAGTTAAAGATCAATCACTTTTTGACAAAAAACCAGCTCATCGTCATGGCCACATTCTCATCTCAGTTTACAATTTCAAGCCTTCTGATTGTATCCCTCTTTGCCAATTCGTGGATGGCTATATTAGCTGTTCATGCTGAAGATGCACCCGAATCATTAGTCCCAAAACAGATGATTTCAAACCAGACAAATCCCAATCCTCGTAACGTCAAAGGGGTACGAGGTTTAATATCTTCCGACATGGTCGGATTCTGTCCAAACCAAACCATGAACAGCCAGTTATCAGGCAGTAACCAGGGAGTCTCTCTTTCAGTGCGTCAATATAATGCTGGTGAAATGGAACCACCTAACATTAACCCTTATTCAGCTGAATTACTTCTGTTATTGGAAGGCAATCTTGAGGTAGGATTTGTAGATACTCAAAACAAACTCTATCAGAACACTCTTCAACCCGGGGACATGTTTTTGTTTCCATCAGGGCTGGTGAATTTCAAGTCCAATCCTAGTAATGTTTCAGATGCAAAAACTGTTGCTGTACTTGGAGGAATCACAGGGAATGTTTATCTTCCACCAATCTTGCTTTCCTCGGGCGTCGATGACGGGATACTAGCGCAGTCGTTCAAGACTGATCAGGCAACCATTAAGAAACTCAGAGCCGGTATGGGATCCCACACTTAGGTTTTGCAGAATCTCCCACTTTGTCACTTCAGATTCTGTCTTCTTATCAGAACTCAGAAGGGTTTCAATAAATTTCCACTATGTATAAGTAAAATATGTTGGTTTCTAAAACCTCTGTATGTGATAGCTTCTATCTTATGAAATGATTTGGCTATCAAGCTATAATGCCCTCTGATCACGTGTTTCAATTCCATGGAAACATTCAAGTAATTAGTAGTATTCGCAAAAAAGCGTAAAAATGAACATATAAGTCTGCAAAATCAGTAATATGCCTTGAATGATCCTCAGAGTTTCCACCATAATTACAATTGTAAAGTGGAGCCTTAATCAAATATTTGATCCTTGAAGCTTTTGAAACAAATGCAAGACTTCAGATGGCACCAGTTTATGCTTCCTCTGGCACTAAAGGCTTGCAATTTCCTTGAGAGGCTTCCACACAAACTTCCTCCTAAACAATTCGAATGCCAAAAAAACACTATCAATACACTGAAACGGAGTAGTTACAACTTACAACAGATTTACAGTAGCTTTAATCAAATTCTTTTTACCAGTTCCCACATTCTGCAATGACTCTGACATTAGGCCTTAAAGTAGGAAGTAAAGCAAGAAATTGTAGCTCGGCCTTGGACAAAACCTACATCATCCATGTCAAAACATAAGCCAGCATCAATTAAAGAAAATACCAAAACTTTGTTCAAATTCAGCAGAAAATTTTGAAAACAGTAATATTTTTACCTTTGCATCAAGAAGATAAAGCACAAGCCCTTTTGCATTTGGTGGAAGCATTGAGAGCCTAAAATCAATCTCTGGTGGGTAATACCATCTAGCAATTGGCTGCTTCCCTATATGAGGCTGAAATGAATCCAAACACAAGCAAAAGACAGCAATTTCAGGTTTAGCCCTTTAATCATAATGACCCCAAACACACAAATTTGCTGAAATTTTGGCTCTGTATAACAGGAAACAGAGGAAATTGGATGACTTACAGGGCAAACAGGGTGAAACTTGATAAGTGTTGTTTCAGGATCACCGAGTCCTTTAGCTGTAAGGTCCAGAAAATGGTACCCTTGTTGTCTCAACCTGATGAAATACCGGCCTTCATAGCCGCCTTCGTGGGGCGGATAAATTGCCAAAGCTTTGTGTTCTTCAACATCTGATAACCACTGGCCTAAATCAAACTTGATCAAATCACCTCCAATGAAGTCTTCTAGACTAACGTTACATTTCACTGATGTTTTCTTGGAATGCTGGCCTCCTCCTGCTACACTTTGTGGTACTAATTTTTCCTTTCTAGCAACTTGAATGGTGTTTGTGGAAATGTGGTTAAGATTTGGTGTTTGTTGGTGATGATCAACACTAGGTGAAGGTAACAAAGAACCATGATAATGAATTGCTGAAAAGGCCATTAAAACGTTCAGAATTCCAACCAGAAGAAGAAGAAGAAGAAATTGATGGGTTTTCAGGCCATAAAAGAAAGACTGAACCTAAAAAATTTGATGAATTTGGATTGAAGAATGAAGGTTCTTTTTTCTATGGTTCTGAAACAAGATAAGGAACGTTATTTTTTTGGCGGCTTTTTTTTTTCAGGTAAAGATGGAATTTATGGACCTCCCATTTTGCCATATGAACAACAAAACAAATGCCGAAGGAAATACTCCCAACTCCAAAGGAGTCCATTTCTACCCAGTACATTTTTACTTATTCTTGTACTTTTCCAAGAAGTTTATTTTTGAATATACTATTGTTCACTTTGAAATTTTACTTTTAGTACAATTTTAAACTAGAAATGAAAACACAAACTGGACAATAATTATGAGACGGAAGGAGTATGTAGTACCTAAACTAAAGCAAGTTTGATTTAACAGTCCAATAGTAGTCCATACTTGACACCACAGTGTTCCTTCCGTCCAAAAAAAATAATTTACACCACAATTTTGTGAAAATTTACTGGACATGAGCATTAGTACATCACACCTTATTAATTCTTGACTTGATAGACAATTACTTTGTCCAACTTGACTAGAAGTTAAAAGCAATCAGAGTAGTTATTGCAAATTTTCAAAGTCAAAATTTTATTTGGTATTGAAATTTATTTTTACCTCTCTGTAATCTTTGATAAACATCAAAATGGGTTGGGGAAAAATATTAACCTCAACTGTTGGTTGAAACTGAGTTCGTCGAACTTTTTGTTGGCTTATGAAACCCAACTAAAAAGTCGATGCAGTGAAATTTTAAAATACCTTAATGAAATTTATTGTTTTATGTCAAAATCAGAATTGTGATCGCTTGAATTCCACGTAGCGAAACAAAGAAGTCTAAACTTATTAATGTAGTATAAAACAAACAATTTATACTCCCTCCATTTCAATTTTGTAGGTCCTTTTAGATTTGCAGAGATTTTTCAAAATGTAGGTCGTTTTACAAATTCTAAGCAAATTAATGACTTATGTTTTCTAACTTTACCCTCAATAAATGATGCTAATCTATTTTTATTTACTCTTATTTATAGTACCAATGTAATTAATGAGGGGTAAAATAGATATTTAATACATAAATTAATTATTGGATGATTATCTCATTAGTTTGCGTGTTAAGTCTAAAGTGAATTACATTTTAAAATAGAGGGAGTATATTCTATTTAATTTAATTTAATGATAATAAAAATAATATCACGTATTCCTTTGGATTACAAAGCGTGTGAAATGGTCGGTGGATGAAAAATACTACAATGAGTAAAGAGAAAATTATTAGATTAACTCCTCTAGACCAATCTAAAAGTTGCTGATACACAAATTTCGTATATTATGTACTCCCCTTCTCGTTATTATCCCGTTTTAGATTTCATTTTAGTACAATTTAAATTAGAAATGAAAACTCAAACTGGACAATAATTATGGGACGGAAGGAGTACTTCATTTTCAACTTGTTTAGCAACTTTTCCAACCACCTAAAGTCAACGGTTTCACAAAACTAATTAAAAATATTCAAATTGATATCTTATTTCGTAGTCTGATTAAGTCCACTTATTATTCCTTTTATAAATCAATATCCGGGAAAAAGAAATTAACCTTGGTTTTTTTTTTAACAAAAATTGAATTAGTCGACTATTACCCGACAAACAAGTCAGCAGAGCAACATATTTTTTAAAGTTCTAATTAAATTTATTATTTTTACATTAAAAATAGATTTATGATTTTTTTTCCCTAAAGAAAGATGTCTAGAATTACACTGCCTCTGATAATTCTCTTCCCAAAGGCGCTTATAGACTCTCATTCATCCGTCAAGAGTTCAAAACTTTTCCGGCAATTCTATACGCATCAATATGGGAACCTCTTTCCGACTTTCCCTATGAAATAAAATCCCTACTTAGTTCTGTTCTATTTCAAATTCAATATTAGTTCTCCTATACTATGAACGAATTAAATTGGTAATTTTTTAGGAGACTCTTTGAGAACATGTATTTCTTTTTTTTTTCCCCATAACAATTTTTGGTTTCAATTTAATGAAATTTCACATTTTCACTGCGTGGACTTGGTCGTCAAGATTTCTAAACCAACAACATAGGTGACAAATTAAGTTTAACCAAAAACATAGTTGAGGGCCTTGAAGCTAACTTTTTTGTATCGTTATCAATGTATCAATTGATTAAAGAAACCCACAAAATAAATAAATAAATAAAGAAAGAAAGAAAAATTGACGTTGAAAATTTTCCTCAAATGATTTTCCTATTTACAGTTTCATTTCTAATACAATTTAAACTGAAAATAAAAATTCAACTGGATAATCTTTTTTAAAGGAATTAGAAATACTAATTTAGTATCTTGTCGACTTTCAACCAAAAAAAGGTTGATAAAAATTTACTTCACTCCACGTAATAATGCTATAACGTTCTCTCTGTCGAAAGCATAGAAACATGAGATAAGATTTTTCTCTTATGAATTTGAAATAAAATGTCTAAAATTATAATTTGAAACAAAACTTTTCAACAAGTTCACTACGTCGACCTGGTCGTCGGGTTTTCAATGAGAACGAAAAAAGTCGACGATCTAAATTTTGGCCCCAAAGACTGTAGTTGAGGTATCAAAATCGATGAGTCGACCTTTGAAAATTTTAAATAATAAGTTCTCCAGCATGCATATGTGGCCCCAAATAGTGCATCTCTGCTAGGAAATCACTTACTGATCATAGAAGCTATCCTTCTTAATCTGCTGATTTGGATCTGGCGGCTCAAAATCAATCGCCTCTTTGTCATCGGCCTCCCTCATATCCATAGCAATTCGACATTTGAACGAAATTTCGTAAATGATCTATTTTCTACAGTAAATAAGTTTATACATTTTTCTTTAGTTAGGATACATTTTAATTACCTTTAAAAATTATAATGTTTTATTATTAAAAAGTTAAATAAAAATTTCATCACGTCAATTTATTCGTCGGCTTTCTATGCCAACGAAAAGGTCAACGATCTAAATTTTGCCTTACTAACCAATTTTGACTAACCACTTTGCACTTTGGAGTTAATCACCTAAACGTAATGAAACTTTAACCTCAATATTCTTACTTGAGTTTTTCTTACCATTCAAGAACACAAGATTTCCATACAGCGAAGAGTTCATGAATTTGAAAATGAGTTGGGAGATTTACGAAAATAATTAATAATATTAATATTTTCGAAGTAAGTATATGATAAATGACTAGTGTACTAAAAATTTTTAACATATCTCCACTAAATAGAGGAAACCTCGGACACTGATTATAAAACTCGTTACACCCAAAAAACGAAACAAAAAAGAACAAATGCTCATTTCCACGCCAAACAACAGAGAAACAAGAAGCAAAAAGGAAGTTAACAAAATAAAAATCATTTTGAGGCGGAACGAATATAAGGATGACTATCTTTTCAGACAAGAAAAGGAGTACTCATCAATTTTTAGCATTCACGGCACGGCAGAAAGTCCTTATCTCGCCTTGGGATCCGGTCAGAACTTCGACGGCCCCCAAGTTAACCATGGCACTACTGAAAAGATTTTGGAAATCCGTCGTGCTTTCGGCTGCGATATCCACAATGCCCGTTGTGTTGGGATGGGATGTGAGTTCTTGATCGATTTGAAGAACTCCTCTGTGCATCTTCAACTGATTATAGTACGAGTTGTCCACAGTGAATATACTCGTCCGGTTCTGATCGAGATTGGCTGCATTCTCAAAAGTTGCATCTTTTGGACATCTTGATCTCAGGGAAGTTACTAGGTCCGGGCTCATGGTCGGATCCGGTTGGCCGGTGCCGTTGAAATCGTAGAGTCGGTATTGGAAGAAGGAACAATTAGCCACTCCAACCGTATGGGCACCTTCACCAGGAAAAATCAAACAATTTCAAAACGTAATCATAGTTATCAGTATCTCCAAATACACATTTTCCAATTGTGTTAGAGATAACAAACACATACTCCCCTGTCTCAAAAACATGATCTACATCAAGTTTTGAAATTTGTATTTTCAAATAAGCAAACATTTGACGTACCAAGAAGGTAAGTCATGTCCACATGATCAACCCCTTTACTTTGAAATAGTTGGATGGATTCTGCGACGGAGATGTCCGGTGGTGGTATGTTCTCATCCACAAGCTCTGCTCGCGACACGTTACCATCTCTCCGGCCAGTTTCCGCCTTGTACATCGGTCCTCCGGCCTAAGCAATTTATTTAAGTAAATATGTGCAGAACACCCTAACTAGTAAACAATTAAGATCACCTTGATGAAAACTCCAATGAAATTGTCTTTTTTATTATTACTCCCCGCCTACTTTTGAGGATTATAGGATCATTAGGCTACTATCACCTCAGCGTATAAAATTCTCCCTTACGGGGAAAACAAAAATGCAATTATGATAATTGTCTACTTTGTTCATTACTCCACGATGCACAAAAAAATACTACACTTTGTTAAACTGTTTTAGTTAAGAGAATGACGACCTTTTTTTTTTCTTGTATATACCGATGGAGGGAATATTGTTTTCCACTTTGCATCTCTAACACATTAATCTTGCATATATATAAATTTCATTTTACGAAAGTTTCGGAAAGATTCAATGTTTCATTTAACATTTATATATATATATATCAATTCAATGCATGGTTTAATTACCAGGGCAACGGCATCTCTAGTAGCTAAGGCAATAATGTCTGCACAAGAAACCACACCAGGGCAAGTCGCCTCCAATGTTTCCTTCACAGCGTCAATGAAATCAAAACCCCTGAGGCCAATATTTGTATCTGCAGTTTTCTCACTATCATCTCCATCCAGTAAAATTGATGCATCACAACCCTTTTTTTTTTTCCCCAAAATCGTCAACATATCAAATGTTAGCAACAACATCATGTGATACAAGTCAATGTACATAATTAAAAAAAAAAAAAAAAATCGTCCCACTAATTAAGTTAGTTAGCAACGTAACTAATTAAATAGTATACATCAAGAAAATGTCTTACGTTAAGGAAACAATCATGAAAGTGCAACCGAAGCAAAGCAGCAGTAATTGTTGGATCTGAAGCGAAGTGTGCTTTGACCGCTCCAGCTACAATCTCTTCCACATCGGCGTTAGCGCCGCATTTTCCTTGGTAGAACCCTACTTGTAACGGTGATGCTGCATTGCTGCAGTAATGGCCTGAAAAAGCCAATAAAAGCGACACTAGGGTTACTAACACCTGGGCAGGTTTCAACATTTTTAAGGTTGAACAATGTAAGTATCGACTTTTTTGGTAAATTTTCTTTTGCTCCTTTGAATACATTGCAGAAAACGTATTTATAGGCAGTGAACGATGTTTCTGATCGATGGGAGAGGATCTATATATGTTTGTCGGGAAGTTAATCTCATGTTCCTTTGATGCAATGATTGTGAATGTGTCATTTAGAATTTTATCGTATAGGTAAATGTCAATTATGAAACCATCATGAAAGTTAAATTTATCCAGTAGGTATATGTGTAATTGTCAACCACAAAAAGTCAACAAAATTTTCCTTTTACGTTTGTATCATTTCTCTTATGACAACAAAGAAGGAGCCATTTAGTCTTAATTGCATCACAAATTTTAGTTTTCGCAAATCACGAATAAAAGAATGCTCTTTGAATTTTAATTTCGAGGGAAGATAAATTGAATCTAAATTGCAACCATTTGTTCATTTCAACCTCCCGTAAGAGAAATCTCAAAAGCAAGTCGAGGGATGGTGATCAACATGCACGGTTTATGGAAAAAAAATAAATAAAAATAAGTTCAAATTGTTTCCGTCCAGAAGTAAAGCTATTGGTTATAGACCTGACAGTCTTAATTATCGCACTCTTGGCAAGTTTGATTTTGTCGCATGATTTCTTTCTAGGATTCTCTTGTTTGCACTGTCGTACTAGGTTTTGTGCAAGACGTCAAGTTTTACGCTTAAGCACCAAAGGATATACTGTTGTTTTTAACGTTTGCTAGAGTTGGGATAAGAACAGAACAAAAGGCCGGCGAAATTAACTAAAGGTTAAATAGACGAAAACATTGTAATTAACTAACGATAAATTTAAAGATTATGCTGTCAAATCTACTTGAGCATTATTTTAGAGAAACATCGGTTTTCAAGAAAGCTTCCCTTTTTTTTTTAAAGCAAAATTTCATTTTAACATTTGATACTGTTGATCGATGAGAACAAATTTGATCCATTCTGTTAGTCCTTGAATAACATTTTGATCGCCAAGTGGTGGCAAATCAACTCCTGCAAGAGTCTCGATACTCTATAGTTGGTGTGACAATTATCTCTTATTTGTGCCTGTGTACTGTAGACGTTATGATTTGAAATTAACCCCGCACATTACAAACATAATAACTCATTTACCCCTCGCCCTACAGCCAAGTTTGGGGGGGCACCAATGAACTTTGGCATAATTAAAACAAAGTTATATGGCTTTGTCCGCCCGTCGTCTCATTTTGCATTTTCAACTCATTTTACCTCTTAAACACAAAACCTAATACAAAAGAAACAATCGTCCAAACAACTTAATTTCTGATTTATATTTGAAAATCAAACTTGTAACATTTTGTTAGTGTAGCGATCATTTTTGGAACTAAAAATTAGTTTAGTGACTAAATTTAAAACTTTGCACATTTTTTTATCTATTGTTTAGTGATCATTTTTTAAACTCTTTTTTTTACAGTGACTAAAATTGATATTTTTCGATTATTAGTGATATTTTTCGTCCTTGATATTTGAATAGAATAACAACTTTTTACTAAAAGTATCATCCAAACAACTTTTTCATCTCCCATTATATTTTTCACTTAAAATACTTTTCACACTCAAGTCGAAAATGAAAACGAAATTGACATCCAAACAAGCACAATAAAGAAAATCTTGTTCACATCCAGATAGTATATCGTCCAGTAAAGAAAATCTAATATTGTTAAAGTTACCTTTTATACAATTAGTATATAATCAAATTTTTAGTTAAATGGACTTAACATACAAACGATTTTGCTAAAATTAACTTGGAATTAAACTTTAAATCGACTCGTGTGATTTACACTTTAATTTTAACTAATCTATTCGAGACTTGTTTTATTTTCTTTGATTAGAATGGTAATCAAAGAATAAAACAACAATGACAATTATTTTCTCTCCAAGTCTTCAAAACAAAAATGCTCTATTTTTTCCTTCATTTTCCTATTATCTGAGGGAAGGACAAACTGGATATCACTTTCCTTACTTTTAGTTTACGTTTCTCGTTCAATAAGTGGCGCCATTTGAGAAACTTATGTATCAGCTTGTGTTCCTAGATGTGTAGTCAGTGGATTCAGGGTTGTCAAGCTCAGTTGGGATTGGCCGGTTGAACCGGTTGAACCAGACCTTAAGTTGAGCGAGTAAAGAATAAAATTGGCAAAAAAACAATCGGTCAAGATCTCGGTCGAACTGGGAATTTGTTAAAATCAGGTCGGACTGAGGTCTTTAATTATTTTGACTTGTTGACCAAAAGTTTACACATTTTCCCTGATTCCAAGTTCCAATGTCTTCTTCTTAAGGCCAAATTTTTCTCTTCTGTTCAAAATGACCCTAAAACTTTTACTAATTATTTTTTTCAAAGTATTAGTTTGATATTTTAATCCCCAACTTTAATTTTAATATCTAAATAGGACTATTTTGATTTTTTTTTTTTTAATTTCACTCCATAAACTAACTTTCGTCATTTTAAGAATCATTTATGTCATAATAACTCTAATATATCACAAAAATTTAATCTCGTATTCTTGATGTTTATATTGATTATCCTGCAAAATAATTTAATTTATCTTAATTACTTTATTAGTATGCTAACTTACGTCACAAAAATAATAATTAATTGCTACAAAATGTCAATACAATTATTACAATAGGAAAATAGATATAAAATTTAAGTTTTTAAATCTTAAATATTTTAGAAAATAAGTATTATTTATTTAGTGAAAATGACATCATTCTAATAGACCTCCCAAGTTAAATTTGGACATATCAAAACCTATTTAAAAATTATGAAATATTAATTTAACTTTAACAATTGATAAATATATATATATAATTATATATATTCTGATTAAAAATATAATTATTAATTAATTAATATTTATTACGTTATTATGACGTCATCCAAGTCGATCCCCCGATTCGCTCGACCCCTTGACCATGCCGAGTCAAGCTCCGGTCTGAGCCTGACAACACTGAATAGATTAGTTAGGGAACTTTCCTCGATTACATACATGATCTGCTTGTAAAATTTGAGTGTAATAGTATACTGCAGTTGGTACTTTCTACCCACACAATGTACCGTTGTCATAAATTTTAAGGTTTGTTTCCCCTCTTTTTGTGAAATAAGAACTGTTTTTTTTTTCCTTTTTTTGGTTACCATGGATATAACTAATTAACTAAACTCAACTGGCAAAAATGATGAAGATTTGGGCGAAAGTTTGCGAGGCTAACCCTGTTATTTTTCTATAATTACTTAGATCATGGCTTTACCTAACTGGTAACTCCTAATTTTATTGAACTTAACAGTGAAAAAAAGTACTCTCTCTGTCCTAGAAAAATAATCTATATTTTAAGGTGTGAATTTTTCTAAAAATAGTACGATTTATAAATTGCAATGTGGACTGTTTTCAGCGACGTAGGGAGCACAAAGGTCGATTAAGTACAAACTAACTTAAAATTAGTGGACTATTAATATAAGCAGGAGGGAATTATTTATTTGCTCTTTATAATTAGTCTTTGATTTTAACAAGCTATTTTAACTAAAAAATTCCATATCAAAGAAGTTGAAGATATGCACCGTCCATTCCATTTTGATAATCCCTTTTTACTTCTTGAAAGCAGCTGCCACTTAAGCTTCATGACAGCTGCACGACAATTTTTTTCCCGCTCAAAACTTTAAGCTTCCTCTACAATTTGACATGTGGCACCATAAGGAAAAAGGAAAAAAAATTATTTGCTACACTTAATGGCTATTTTAAAAAAAATAAACAACATGCACCTATTTTTATGTCTAATAATTAAATGAAAATCCGCCTTCCATTTGCCATATTAATCCGGGGATCAATCCCCTCCAATCTCTAAACCTTTTGATTAAAAGGTTTCGCTTTGTCGATTCTCTAAACCCTAAATCCGGGGATCTTCCAATGCTTCCAATATGAGGGTAAAAATAAATAAAATTGATTTACTTATTAATTTTTATTTGCGTTTTATTTATGTAATCATATAAAGATTTAATATTGATCAGCCTAATCGGGTAAAAATAAGAACATGTATTTATTTCTTTCTTGATCTACGTCACAAATTTCATTTCTCTGATAACCATTAGCCTTCCTTTAATTTGCTTCATTTAGTTTTCAATACATGATCATAGCTCTGATGATTCGATGTCCCTTCCTTGTGAGGATGAGGAATTCCGCGAGGACTATAGTACTAATATTTTTTTCAATTTGAGAAGGGTAATTTCTTTGTTGCTTTGTTTTATTTTATTTTTAAATCCTACTTCAGATTAGGGCTTACTCTGTTGTTCTTTCATTAGTTAAATTCCAGAGCGAGACTATTATTTAGTTGAAAAATATATCATTATCAATTACATTGACCTGATCTTTTTTGGTTTGCTTAAATTGAAGGGAAAAAGGTCTCACAGGGGTACTCACGAGACACGACAAAAGCGGCTCAGAAAGATAACATCTTTGGGGCTTTGATTTCTTTGTTCTTCTTTAAATTGGGTTCGTTTTGATTTCTTTAATTGCTTTTTCTTAGTTTGGTTTGTAAAATTTAAAGTTAAAGGAAAGGTATATCGATGTTTTGTTGATTTTTTTTTTTATATATATTTTGAGTTAGCCAGCATGTTGTAGCTTTTAATTAATGAGTAGTGTTTTAGCACTCTTTCTGTCTCAAAATTAAAAATAACACAAATCTCATAATTCAATGTAAACAATTTCTTTTAGTATAAAGGGTGTATTTTCCGTTTAAATCAAATTCAAAAAGAGTCCATATTGAACTATCTTTGTTAAACTAATTTTTACGAAGTGTTTGAGCCTTTGAGGTGTTATCGACATGAATATGCTATTGATGATATATGTTGTTATTTTAGAAAATATTGTTTTGCATTTTATTATTTCCTTTTGTCGTGTTTTTTGTGTAGGAAATGGCGGAATAGTTATATTGATCCAGTGGCATGTTTCTGAAAAAC